GAGCAGATGGAGCCAGTGTGGCTTCAAGGCGGGGACAGAGAGGCAGAGCCAGGTTAGATCTTCTCCCCAGATGGTCTCTAGGGCAGGGTGATGAAGGTGCCAGGTGGGCTGGGCGTGACTCTTGTACTGAGTAGAGAAGGAAGAATGCCCAGAGCTCATGTGTGACACTAGCACGCAAGGAGGATTTTAAGATTTCTCTGGTCCTGCTCATATATTGGAATCGATTCCATTGTGGTGGGGTTGATATCTGAGGACATCTAGGGAGATGTATGTATTGTGATATGGGCCACCCAGCGCTGAGCTGAAGACTGGGATGCCTTTCCCAGCTCAAAATCTAGTGCAGTTTTATATATCGGCGCTTTACAAGGATTTTTAGCCTAGTGAATTTGGATGTGGCTTTTGGTTGTTCTGGGGAAGGTGAAGTATCTCCATTCATGTTTGATCTTCTTCCTGTCCCCCTTTCAGAGGCTAAACTTAGAACAAAACCAATCCCATATTCCACTCTACAGCGGCAAACCAGATTATTCTAGTAAGATGACTCTCCAGCTACCAGTCTCATGGTCTCTTTCGGAGAGCAGCAAGCGGGATTGATTTCTCTCGAGGGTACTGCATCAGTGCGCTGCAGTCTACCTCTCGGGTCCCTGCGACTCTTTCCCTGGCGGGATGGCTTAGGGAGAATTCATCACAGTCCATCCCGCTTCTGCCAGCAGCCTCAGTGATGCTGTGCACACATACACTGCGCCAGGAGCTGGGAGTAGGGGACACAAACACAGTGACCGCCAGTCTCTTCTGAACACATGTAGAGAATCCAAGGAGCGGATTGAACACAGGGCTGCGTGTAACTCTTCGCACATCCAAAGCAATCAGTTTTAGGTCCCAGCTTTAACCATGACTTCCATCTCCTCATCCAGTGCTCTTTCTTATGTGTGTGACATAATCAGTAAAAGTGGTTTTTTTCTTTTGGTACTGAAGATTGAACCCAGGGCCTTTGCACTGAGCTACATCCCCAGCCTTCTCATTTTTTTCCTTACATGTTTTTCCTTAGGGCATGTTTGCCCTATATAATGATCACACTCATCGTGGGGAATTTGTACCTGTATATAGTATATCTTAATTCTTCTTGTTTCCCCATTCCTCTTCCCTCCCTTCAACCCCTCTTCCCCTCCTCGTTTACAAAATCTCTTTCCATTTTCCCCTTCCATTCTCTTTTTTTAATCCCTTTCTCCTCCTTCCCCTCCCTCATTCCCCTTTCCATTTAAACAAGTTCAGTGCAGGACTGCTCTGCCATAAAGGATAAACTTGAGACATTTTTAGGTAAATAGATGCTGCTCAAGACCATAATTTTAAGTGAAATAAATCAGACACACAAGTTTCAATATCACATTGTTTCTTTTGTGTGAGAAACCCAAAGGATAAATAAAGAATAAAATGGAAGATAGATATTGGGAAGTAGGAAGAGCCTTTTCATTTTGACACAGTCTTGCTAAGTCACTGAATTGCCCAGGCTGGTCTCAGACGTCCTGGCCCTGCCTTCCAGAGTGCTGGGATTACCAGAATGTTTACCTCTTAATAAGTTTGTGTCCGAGTAGCCTTAAGAGGAGGTGCTACCCTTAAATGATCCTGTTATTACTCTAAAACTTCTCAGAACTGACTGCGGGTAACACAGAACATTGCGTGGGACGTGCATGGGGTGAATTCTGTGTGACCTCTTCTGGGTGGATCTTCTTCTTGGAAATAGGTGAGATTCACCCAGAAACAAATCAGATAAATGCAATGAGTAAGCTGATAAGTGAGTACACTGATTGATGTTATCTAGGAGTCAAAAGTGAAATGTGATCTCATAATGGAGCAAAATAATGCGTTGAGTTCCCGATTCACAAACTCGTCCTTGAAGGCAATTTCAAGAGGAAACCCAACGAGGATTGATCCGTGGATGAATGTTAGGAAACTTTATCTCTGTGGAGGACATGAGGATTAGTTTGAAGGTCACCTTCATTTGGATTTTTTAGTTCTGGTAAGTTCACCAAGAAAGTCAGTTTCTTTACTGACTTAGGAGAGAACACTGAAAACTTGGAGTTTAGTGAGCGTACAAGATGCAGCAACACCACTTGTCACAAAACCCTCTTAACAGGAATGATAATTTTAGTTCCATTTATAAATCATTTCACAATCATTGAGCAAGAAACTGTACCCTGTGCATACATGTACACATTATTTTACTTAATCCTAACATCTAAAATAGTAGATACTATTATCCCCATGTTACAGACGATTAAACAGATCTAGAGATGTAAACATCTCAGATTTCCCAAGATCACATAGCTAGGAAAGGGAGGAATTAGAATTTGAATTCAGAATCATCCGCCTCCAAAGTCTAAGCTTTCATCACATTGTTATTCCTGAATAAGGGAAAAAATCTTTGTTGCTGTTGTTGAGGCAGGGTCTAATATGTACTTCTGATATAGCCTTGAACTCACTGTGTAGCCCAGGCTGGGCTCAAACTTGCAATCCTCCTGCTTCAGCCTCCCAAGTGAGTGCTGCTGGGGTAACAAGTAAGCGCTGCCACGCCCAGCCCAATAAGGGAAAAGTCTTGAACTCGATCCTCTACTAGGACTCTGGAACTTGAATGTTAGTAGCATTTGGAAGAACGCTACAACTGAGGGTTAGCAGTTTTCATTCAACAGAATAGCAGCACCTGCTGTGGGCACGCAATGCTCCAACTGACTACATGAACTGCAGCCCTGGGTTAGGGGGAGAAATCCCTCAAGGCCCGAGCAGCCCAGGTGGCTCTTGGGAAGCATCTGTCACTCCGGTTATGTCCAATTCTCCCCATTCCACCAGTGTAGATGGGAAAGGAGGGAAGGAAGGAAAGTAGGAAGAGTGGAGGAAAGGAAGGAGACGAGGGTTAGGGACAGAAGGGGAAGAAGGAGCGAGGAGGAGGGGAGGATGGGCCAGGAGGGCTGGGAGGAAGCAGATCCCCACAAATGGGCCTCCCGGTGAAAACTGGCCACCCGTGCAGACATGGCCAGTGCTGGAGGTGGCAGCTCTTGCCTTCCGAACAAAATGTTCTCTGGGCGCCCTCGCACTGAACCTTCGGTAGGAGGGGAAGGAGCCATGTTTCCCTGGCTGCCTCCTTGAAAAGAACACTACAGAAGGAGCGTGGATGACAGCAAGTGAGCAAGGACCTCTGATCCTCTTTGGGCCTGACATTGAAATCCCACATATCTGAAGAAACTGTGTCCGGTGCAAGGTGTCTGTTGTTTCCTGCCGGGGACCTGGGGAGGTGACAGGGTTCTCTCCGCAGTGGGGAGGGGACTCTCAGTCACCAAGGGTTCGAAGCTGTTTACCCCCAGTCCCTGGAAGAGCTAATATAGGTGTTAGCAACCTCAAATCCTGCATTTCTCTTCTTCTTCAGTACTGGGGTTGAATCCAGGGCCTTTGTGCTGAGCTGTCCCCCCAATGCTTCTTCTATTTATTTATTTATTTTTATTCTGAGATAGTTTTGCTAAGTTATCCAGGTTGGGCTCAAACTAATAATCCTCCTGTCTCGGCCTCCCAGAGTGCTGGGATTACAGCTGTGCACTGCCACACGGGGCTCTGCCTTATTTTTATGAAGAATAAAAGGACATCAGTGTCTGCAGAAACCTAAAATACAGAAAGGGGGAGAGAAGGAAAGGGGAGGTAAAAAGAATTAAGATGTGTTAGGGACGCGCACCAGCTCTCCAGGAGGAATGGAAGCATGGTGTGCTGTAACGTGGACTAATAAAAATAAAATAGTTTTTAAAAATGTAATGTGCACTTACAGGATAAAATCCCAGACCAGTGTTTCAGAAAGCACGTGTGCTCTTACACTTACAAGGTTATGAAATAAATCAGGACTCGGAGTGTCCTGATTTATTCACAGTGAGTGGGCAAGGGATCTTTTATGAAGTCTGTAAGCTTGGACCACGTTTCCCACTTCCCCGGAGCCCAGAGGTCCCCGTAAGCTCCTTAATGGTCTAGGGGCCACCATTAGTTTCTCTTTTTTTCAGGGAGGGGTTACTAGGATTGAAGTCAGTAACTTGCGCTTGTGAGGCAGGTGGCAGAACCACTGAGCTAAATCCCCGGCCCCGCCATTAGTTTCTTAGCTTGGGGACAAAAAGGACAGAAGAAGAGAGAGTAGCCTGGGCTTTGTCTCCTTGCCTCCCGGTTGTGGACAGGCCAAGCAGCTGGGGTGCTCGTGATTCCTTTAGCAAATACAGCAACTTTGATCATATCCTGTTTTGTTTTGTTGGTTTTTGGAGACAGGGTTTCACTAGGGAGTTCAGGCTGGCCTGGAACTCACTGTGTAGCCCAGGCTGGCTTCAAACTTGCAGTGATCCTCCTGCCTCAGCCTCCCAAGGGCTGGGATTACAGGCGTGCACCACCACGCCTGGCTCAGTTTGTGCATCGTGTCCTACGGTCACCCAGTTACTCTAAGCTGGGACACCTGTAGGCTTTCACAAAGAACTTCATGCTCCTGATCTGTAGCCCCGGAGAAGCATCCCGCCCCCAGCCTGCCCGGGCCCCCAGAGGTTCGGTGAGTTTCCCCAAGTATGGCCACAGTGTTGCCCCAAGGGGCTTTGGCCTTCCCTGTTCGGGCTGGGCTGAGCTCTTCCAGGCCCCAGCTCCCAGCTGGCACAGCGAGAGAAGGAGGCCTCAGTCCTCAGGGTCTCTGATTCTGGGGCCCCTGAAGCTGCTGCTAAGGCAATGTGGTGGGTGGTCCCGAAACACAGAGCCACCAGGCCTCCCTTCTCCCAGCAAGGAAGGGGAGGGGAGCAGGTGTCCCTCATGGGCACCACAGGATGCTATCCGCCTCCGCCTCCAGCCAGGCCTGAGCCTTGCTCCTTCGCGCTCCCTCCTGAGGGCCAGAGAAGGGAGGGCGCTGGGGTCGCAGCTCCGAAGCACTCAGGCTCCTTCCGGCCCCTCCCTGCGGCAGAGTCCACACCAAAGCAGCATAGATGGTTCTCTTCCTCCCGCAGATTCCATTGTGATTGCCTTTTGGGTGAGCCTGGCTGTGTTTGTGATGTTCCTCTTCCTCATTCTGCTCTACATGTCCTGGTCCGGTTCCTCACAGATGAGGTAAGTGGGAAGGGGCATGGTGTTCAGGTAACTCAGGTGCTCAAGAGTGAGTAATAGCACAGAACAGCCATGGGATGGAATAGTATTCAGCCATAAAAAAGGAACAAAGTACTGATTCATGCTAGAACATGGATGCACATAGTCATGCACCACATAACAATGTTTTGTTCAACACCGCTGCACATTCAGTGGCAGTTCCATGTGATTCTATCTCCTAATGATGTGGTAGCCATCTTTGTCTGTGAGTATGCACTATGACATTTGTGCAATCACAGAATCACCTGACGACCCATCTCAGGATGTATCCTGTTGCTAAGCAGTGCATCACTGTGCTTCAGCAACCATCACGCTGAGAAGAAAGACCCGGAAATCCACACAGAGTACGACCCCGACAAAGTGAATGCTGGGAAAGGCAAATCCATACAGAGAGGAAGCAGAACAGTGGTCATGTAGGGCTGGGGGAGGGCAGGGGAAGGGAGGGGTTGCTAAGGGGTGTCTTTCGGGGTTGATAGAAGTGTTCTAAACTGGGTGTGGAATGCATGTCTGTAATCCCTGCACTCTGGGAGGCTGAGGCAGGAGGATCTTAAGTTTGAGCCTAGTAAATTAGCGACTTAGCACCATCCTGTTTCAAAAAAATTTTTTTGTAAAGTTCTGGGGATGTAGCTCATGGTGAAGGCCTTGGGTTCAATCCCCAATATGAAAAAGAAGAAAGAAAGAAAAGAAAACTGTTCTAAAATAAGATTATAGTAAGAGTTGCAGAGTTAATATACTAAAGACAACTGAATTATACACCTAAGTGGGTGAACTTTATGACATGTAAAGTACATCTTAATAAAGCTGTTAAAGCAAATAAAGCTGAAATGGCCCCATGTGCAAATGAGGCAACTCACACACACACACACACTCACTAATGGGGCCCTAACTTAGGGCTCTGTGGTCATCACCTCTTATTGAATACCTCAGTAGTTAAATTGAAGGTAAAATTTAGGAGCTCTAAGTAGTGTGTGTGGTTTTTGTTTTGTTTTTTTTGGTACCAGGGATTGAACTCGGGTCCTTGCGCTTGCACAGCAGGCAGTGGAACCACTGAGCTAAATGCCCGGCCCAGGAGCTCCAAGTAGTAATTAGAACCTAGCTCATTATTTTCTTTTCATAGCAAAACATTTATGGGTGCATTTTAGGCACACGTGATAACACTCATCATAGGGAATCTGCACCTGTGCATGGTGCCTCCTGCCTCCCTTCCAGCCCCCTCCCCGCCCGATATACAGAAGCTTTGTTTCCATTTTTTCCTTCTATTTTCACTTTGTTCTTGTCCCTTTCTCCCTCCCTCCTCCCTTGTTCCCCTTCCCAATTGAACATTTTCTTCCCATTTCCCAGTATCGATTATACATTTTAGTCCTTATTTCCTTCCACTTTTGGTTTCTCACGCCAGAGAAGCAATGTGTGTCCGATCTATCTCCCTGAAGAGTATGAACCTCACTCATTATATGTTAAGTCTCCTGCACTAGATGGTCACTTGCCACACCAATTTCCATGCCGTTTCCAGGGCACCCAATGCCTGGCCACAGCCAGGGACAGCACAGGAGGTGACACTGGGGATGTGAGAGGTGAACCAGGCAGCTGTGCAGCTGCACCGAGGTCCAGGAGAAAGAATCCATTTTCCTTCAGATTTTAGAACTCACAGTACATTTAAGGGGTTGTTTACCCCCCAATACCCTTAGGAGGTAAATTCAGGAAATTACCTTTCTTCTCCCTGAGATGCCCTTTCCTGCTCTTGGGCGTTTTTGTCCCGGGCACAGGGACAGTCTGAGGGGACTGTCAGCGACCCTGCTGGTGGAGAGTGGCCACTCTGGTGGATACACAGTGGACATGGCTTCCAAGCCCGGCTCCGCTGGGCAGTGCTCTTCAGATTGGAGTTTTACAGGGGCAAATGTATGATGGTGTTCACCCGACCAAACTCTAGGGCTCACTAACAAAAACAGCCTTGAGACCTTTTTTTTTGGAGACAGAATCTTGCTATGTAGATCAGGCTGGCCTTGAATTCATGGCAGTCCTCCTGCCTGGGTCTCCCCAGTGCTGGGATCACAGAGCCTGGGGCACTTCGTAATAGACAGGGAATACCTACAGCAGCAAAGCCAGTCTTATCCTGATTTCACCCTGGTAACACCTCCCAGCGAGGTCCTACTTTGTCCCTGAGCTGGCTTTGCGCCTCCCCACAGGGGTGTGTGTGTGTGTGTGTGTGTGTGTGTAGGTGACAGGAAGGCACCACTGTAAGCACCACCCTTTGACGCTGCCTCCTCGGTCCTCCGCAGGAACGGCCTCCAGCACCAGCCACAGTGCCCGTGGAGCCCGGGCCTCAACCTGCCCCTCTGCCTGCGGAGCACCTCCCCGCGGACGGCGGACGACCTGGGCAGCGGCACTGGCGCACACCCGCGGCTCTAGCAGGGGCGCCCTGTGCCTCGCATCCCCGCTGTCCTCGGGGACAGGCCTGGAGCGCGGTCCCCACCTCAGCTGGCGGCAGGAGCACGCGGAGGACCCACGCTGTCAGTCATGCCAAAGGACTGGGGACATCAAACCAGCGAGGACACGTTTATCTTTTTTGTTTTTAATGTATAACTTTATTATCGTTCACTAACCACACACATACACAAAAATTAAAATTATTCAAAGAAAAACAATGCAAGGGGAAAAAAACCTATAATAATATTCAAATATAATAGAACTCAACCAAAGCAAAACTGAAAAGTACTTAAACATTTTTCCATATAATCCAAAAAAAAAACCTCAAGCATTAAGACATCAAAGGATGTGATTTGTTTTAGAAAGATTTTCAAAACTAATATTGAACAAATAGTGGTCTGGAGAAAAAATTCTGATTAACTAGCAGATTCCACATAGGCTAAATTAGTTTTTGATTTACATTTCAATACAGTCATGTGACACATGATGGAAATATAATCTGAGAAATGTGTTATTAGGCAATTTCATCCAGGTATATCACAAAGTACCACACAGAGTGCCAACTTCTAAGTGCCAACTGAGAAGGTATACGTCAATCATCTGTGATGGCCCCTTGATATTATCCAAATATGCAGGTAAACACGAGATACCTGAGGCTACCACTGGCATAGCAGCACACTGTTTTACAGTAAACTCTTTGATATAAGTAGGATTATGCTCTAAAGGATGAAAAGCACAGCATGTTGTGATAAGTACATAAAACATTAACAGTCATTTATCACACTGTTGAGTACTGTGTACTGTACATAGTTGTATGTGCTTCTTCTGGAAACACACCCTTCTCTCCTTTGATCTCAGTGACTCTTCCTTCCCAAGCCACTGATGAGCTCCAGCCTAGGCTCTATCTACATCTCTTCCTATAGTTTTAAACACAATCTATATATGGATTCTTTCCAGATTCCAGCTTGTAACCTGATCTCTCCCCTTCCCCTCCTGCTGCCCCTACCCCTTTGAACCTTTTCTTCCTATTTCAAATTATCCATTATTTGTTTTAATCCTTAATTACACTTTCAGTTTCTTACACCAGAGAAACTATTCGGTATTTACACGTAAGTCCTATTTATTTCACTTAAGAGGATGGCCTCAATATGCATTCATTTAGCTATAAATGTCTCTAGTTTCTCGTTCTTTTATGGTTGAGTAGCACTGCATTTTATTTAAAAAACCACATCTTCTTTATCCAGTCTCCAGTTGATTGGAATTGGGCTGTTTCCAAGTTTTAGCTCTTGCAAACTGTACCTCTATGAACATGGGTGCACGTACATCACTGTGGTATGATTCTTTTAATTCTTTTGGGAAGATACCCAGCAGGGGGAAAGCTGGGTCAAATGGGACCTGTAGTCCTAGTTCTTTGAGGTATCTCCATACTGATTTCCACAGTGGATGCACCAGTCTGCACTTCCACCACAATGGAGAAGGGTTTCTTTCTCCCCACACCCCTGCCAGCATTTGTTATTGGTTGATTTCTTGATAGCAGCCATTCTTTCTGGGGTGGGGTGGAATCTCAGTGTTGTTTTCATCTACATCTCTTGAATGACCAGTGATGTTGAACATTTTTTCATGTATTTATTTACTGCTTTTACTTCTTTGTCTGAGAAATGTCTGTTCATTTCAGATGCCCATTTTTGAATTGGGTCTTTGAATTTGGGAGGGTCTGATTTTTTTCAATTCTTTATATATTCTAGATAGTAGTCCTCTAAGGTGCAGCTGCTGAAAATTTTTTCCCACATTGTAGGTTGTCTCTTAGCTCTGTTGGTGGTTTCTCTTGCAATGCAGAAGCTTTTTAATAAGATGAGATCACAGTTGTTGATTCTTTGTGCTAGTTCCCATGCTACTGAGGTTTTGTTCATAGTCTTTTCCTATGCCAATGTCTTCAAGAGTTCTACCTATCTTCCAGAAAATTTAATGTTTCTGTCTTAATATTTAGATCTTTAATCCACTTTGATCATAGTTTAGTGCATGGTGATAGATATGGGTCTAGTTTCAATCTTTGGCAGGTTGAAATTCAGTTTTTCCAACACTATTTGTTAAAGAAGCTACCTCTCCTCCAGTGAAGATGGTTGGCTCCTTTGTCAAAGATGAGGTGGCTGAGCATATCTGTAGTTGTTTCTGCATCTTCTAATCTATTCCACTGATCCACGCATTTCTTTGCCAGTACCATGCTGTTTTTATCACAGTAGCTTTGTAGTATAGTTTCAAGTTGGGGATTGTAATACCCCCAGCCATGTCTCTGTTGCCTGGAAATTTTTGCTATTCTAGGTCTCTTCTGGTTCCAAATGAATTTTTGCATTGTTTTCTCTAGTTCTGTGAAATATATTGATGGAATTTCAATCGGCATTGCATTAAATCTATATAGCAGTTTTGGAAGTATGGCCATTTTCACTATATTGGCTCTTCCTACCCAAGAGCAAGGGATGTCTTTCCATTTTCTAATATCCTCTTCAATCCCTTTTTTCAGTGTACTATAGTTTTCAGTGTAGAGAACTTTTGCTTCATTAGATTGACTCCTAGATATTTCATTTTTTTGGATGCTATTGTAAAAGGAATTGTTTCCCTAATTTCTCTCTGTGAGTCTATTATTTGTCTATAAAAAGGCTATTGTATTTTGAGTGTTGACCTTATATCCAGCTACTCTACTGAATCTGTCAATTAAGTCTAGAAGTCTTTTGGCAGAGTATTTAGGGTCTTCTATGTAAAGTATCATATCATCAGCAAATAATGACAGTTTCACTTCTTCCTTTCCTATCTTTATTCCTTTTATTTCTTTCTCTTGTCTAATTGCTGTGGCTAATGTTTCCAGAACAATATTGAACAGGAGTGGTGATAGTGGGCATCCTTGTCTTGTACCTGAATTTAGCGTGAAAGTTTACAGTTTTTGACCATTTAGTATGATGTTGGCTGTTGGTTTTTCATAGACACGTTTATCTTTTAAAGCCCATTTACACATCACAGACAGCGCGAACATGTCCAGAACAACTGAACAAGGAGGTGCAGCACATGTGACGAAGGCCTGCAGGTGGCCCCTCTAGAACAGGGACAGCGTCCCAGCCTTGCTGACTTTATGTAGTTCACTCAGCCTGCTCACTGCTTATGTCTGCTTTGGGACGAGTAGGGAAATAGTTATCTTAATATGTGAATTACAATAAAAATGTTTGTCTGCTAATACTTGCTGTGGCACTGTCCCTCCTGTAATAGTGCCCCTCGTCTGCTGCACCTGGCAGGACACTGGCAAAGCCTGCAGGTGCCCATGTCCTCCACTGACACGATTGCTCATGACAGGTGGCAGCATCTGCACGCGGTCAAGGGACAGAAATCACACCTTCGCCTGTGACGGACTTTAACGGACTTTAGACAGAGCCCAGGGGCATTTCCTGGAGGTGGCAGCACAGTCAGGCCCAGCAGGCGGCGCCTATGCCTAGGGGAATGAATGGGCCTTCAGTGATGTTGTAGTTGGGAAAAGCTCTCCAGGCTGTCGGCTGCGGCTCATTCTGGAGCCACTTTATGTGACCACAGATCTGAACCCAGCAGTGGCCCTGGGCTGGAGTGGGAGACAGCACCACACCAACCCAGAAAAGCCACCCATACCATCCAGGGCAATTGGGGAGTCAGGGGCTTTATTTTAAAAGTAACCATGTTCCCCTTTCACCACAGCATTTGTAACACAGTTGTTACTTGGTATCCACAGGGTTGGGGGCTTGGTTCGAGGACACCTCAAGGATCTCAGATCCTGACCCTCAGGTCCTGTCTGTGAAATGACATAGTATTTACATAAAACAACACATCCCTTTCTGCATACTTTAAATCATCTCCAGATTACTTACAATAATGCTGAATACAGCACAAATGTCAGGTAAATAATTGTTATACTGTATTGTTTAGGGAAGAACAAGAACAAAAAAGTCAGGGCATGTTCATCTGCTTCTTTCTGAATATTTTCAATCCACAGTTGCAGATCCTAGGGTCTGAAGTGGCAGCTATATTTAAAATTTGATGTTTTTTATTTTACACCCTGGTTCAAGGCTTCGTAAATCTATTTTCCACAGGGCGAGATCTCCCACCCCATGCCTGGAAAATGGTTTCACAGGGTGGGGCCAGGCGTGGGCTTGCCACACTGGGGGCAGCGGACTTGGGAGGACAGGGATGGGGGACTGGTGAGCTGGAGATGCAGAAAAGGGGGCAACTTGCTAAACCTGCGTCCTCAACTTACGAGGCGAACCCCAGCTCTGAGGTCCTTGTCACTACCTCCTTCCAGCCAGAACCCCTCTGCACATGCTACTCTGAGGGGCCTGCAAGTGAAGAAATCCCAGTATGTGACAGAGAAGTACAATGAAGATCAGAATGGGCTGGGTGTGGTGGTGAGTGGCTGTAACCCCAGCACTCAGGAGGCTGAGGCAGGAGTTCAAGGCCAGCCTGAGCTCCACAGCAAGACAATGTCTTAGAACAACAAACAAAAGAGATAAAAGGGGAGCTGCAGAGAAGGAAAAAGTGGCCTTTGCTTTGACAGTCCTTGGATGAGGCCAACTGGAATATGTACATCGGGTTTCAACTCAGAGCCTTCTCACAATAGTTGTGGGGGTTTTGTGGGGGAGGGGGCTGCAGAGACAAACACTCCTCCTCTGCTAGACAACAAGGCCTATCTGTGGCAAGAGGATGTACACAGATAAGCATTCCTCTAGCCTCCATTAAAATCTTAAGTCATTTAAAACAAACAGCCCAAGTGCCCATCAACTGGATAAAGAAGATGTGGGTCTTTTATAAAATGGAGTACTACTCAGCCATAAAGAACAAGAAACTAGAGACATTTATAGCTAAATGGATGGATACTGAGGCCATACTCCTAAGTGAAATAAAATAGGACACACGTGTAAATACCGAATAGTTTCTTCTCTAGTGTGAGAAACTGATAGTGTAAATAAGGATTAAAAGGATTACAAAGAATAATTGATAATCTGAAATAGGAAGAAAAGGTCCAAAGGGTAGGGGAAGTGGGAGGGGAAGGGGAAAGGAAAGAAGGGAGAGGAAAAATTATGAGAAAAGGAAAAAAATGGAAACAAAATCTTTGTAAATAGGGAAGGGAGCACAGGGAATGGGGAAAAAATAAGAACCAAGATACATCATGTACGGGCATGAGCACCCAAAGATAAATGTAAACATATTGTATACCTAAAATGTATCAACAAAAGAATTTAAGTGAAAAAAAAAATAAAAATAAAAAAAGATAAAACAAAGGATTCTAAGGAGCACTGGCGGTGAACAAAAGGGTAAATGTGTGACACCAAACCGAGCCGTCCCGGCACTGAGTGTTACACAAGCCCAACGGCCCCCAGTGCCAGACACTGGGGACGCAGGGTGTGCAGAAGGGCCTCAGAGACCAGGTCAGTGTTCCACCTGAGAAATCCAGGAGTTTCACACTGACCTTCACCGGGTGCAACACCCACTCCCACATAACCCTGAAAGCCAATCTCTGACCTGTGAAACCCAGGGCTCTGGAATAAAAACAGCTCTAACATCAATGAAAGCAAAACACAAAAACTTTACAAAAATAGACATTTACTTTGAAGAGACTATAAAATTCAAAATCCCCTCTTTGAAACACAACTTTAAAAAATACAGGCTGCTCTCCCAAAGCAGAGCTCAAACCAGTTTATACTTTGAGGATTTAGGGTAACATCCTTTGATTTAATAAAATAATCAACACTGGCAGGCACTCATTCATCCAGTCATACAAAATTCTGTTACAACTTACAGAGAGAAAACTCTTCCTACTCATCAAAAACATGACCAAGTTTTCTGACATTTTAGCTTGCACACTCACCGACTGGTTGTGCAACTGCAAGTGGCAGCTGGACCTTCTCCTGAGGCATGGGAGCCCCTGGAGCGCAGGGTCTGGCCTGCCTGAGCCCTACCTGACCCTGGCCATGGCCCAGAGGCTCCCCACGCCACTGCTGCCCTGATCACCTGTACACGCATTATCTATAGTCCTTCTGATTCTTCCGGTCAGGAAATTGAGCCAGCGTCCGGCGCCTGTCACCTGTCACGTCACGCCTTCCCCAGGAACCGGGACTCCACCAAACTTCTAGAGCCCGGGAGCAGTCACAGCAGTCACACATCTGAGGCCGAGGCAGTGATGTCCCTGCAGAGCGCAGCAATGGCGTCCTCCTCCCCTCCTGGCGAGTCCTCCAAAGCCGTGCAGACCATTCGGGCGTGGGTTAGGAGGGAGTCCGGCCGCCGGGCCCCCAGCCAGAGGTCCTTAATGTACAGGGACACCAGGAATGCTGAGGAGGCTGAGGAAGAGTGGGACGAGGGCCATCAGGAGGGACACCGCTCAGCCAGAAGCAAGCCACCCGCCCCTACAGCAGCTCGCCTAGGCCTCCCGGCGCCCTGCACCACAGCCTGGCAACTCTGGGTGAGCACATGATGGTGTGATTGTAAAATGCACCTTTCCTCTGGTGAATCTTAGGGATTTATGTGTGTGTATCTTAAAAGAGCAGTCACTACAAGGCTGCCATCTGCCTGCATCTGAGCATCCACGTCAGGGCCAGCACTGAAGCCTGAGCAGCTCTTCTGCATCATCTCATGTCCTCCCCTCCGTGAAGGGACCACCGCCCCAAAGGAGGTGGCCACTGGGGCCTGTCCGCTCACTGCTCTGCTCCCCCCTGCAGTCAGATCTCTGGGCGTGTGTGCAGCGCCAAGCACGCAAACTGCAGGCGTGTCTGTGCTGGGCAGACACTGGGCTGGGTGACAGGTCTGCATCTGGGTTATCATCAAGACTCTCTGCTCTGCGGGGTGGGCGTGTCCCTGGAGGAACACTGGCTGAGGATGAGGATACCTTCCCTAACTTTTCACCGAAGACTAAGGCAAACTCCCTCCCTTTGCATTCAGTGTCAAATGGCAGAATCGTGCCAAGGGGTCACCTGAACACTTCAGGAACCAAGCTGAGGAGGTGGATGCCTGACCCCAGTCCCTTCCCACACTCCCCAGCTTCTGGCCAGAGCACCAGCATTACCTTGCGTGGTGCCATCCGCCTCCTGTACAGAGGACATGCACAGGGCCTCCACTGCCTGGTGGAAGGGGCTCCCCGAGTGGCCCTGGGCCACCAGCAGCTGCAGCATGACCCTGTTGAACAGAATGGCCACGTCCTGCATGGGTCCTACCAGTCCTTCGGCACTGCAGAGGTGGCTGTACAGCTGAAACAGGCTCCTCCTCACGGCGCCATCCCCGAGAAGGTTGGCCACCACCGCCGGCTGTGGCAGGATGCGGCTCTGGAGCCAGCCCAGGAGCCCCGCCGCCTCTGCCCTGCTGAGCGGGCACTCGGCCACCGACCGCAGCACCCAGCTGGCCACCAGGGAGGCGGCGGCATATGCAGGGCCTGTGGCTTTGCTCTCAGGCGTGGCCTGGTCCTGGGAGGGCTCGGGGCCGGGGACCACTGGCCCCCAGTGGGTCAGGATGGACCTCAGCAGGGCCCTGCACCGCTCCACAGCAGATGCTGCCAGCTCAGGCTGGGCTGTCTCCTCGGCCTCCCCAGGCCTCCTCCTCCGGCCCCTCGGGCGCCTGGCTCGGGCTGGCACAACAGGCCTGTGCTTCTCCTTGAGCATTTCTGTCAGAGGCAGAGGGAAAGGAGGTGAGGCCGCTGTCCCTCCCGTCCACACAGTCCCCACTCAGAAGGCGGAGCAGCTCAAGGGCCTCCGAAAACCTGGCCCTGATGTGCAGTCCACTGGCACAGCATCCACTGTGATTGTTACAATAATGAGCTCATTAATATGGGGAAACCAGGAGTGGTGTGCACCTGTAGCCCTGGCTTCTCAGGAGGCAGAGGCAGGCGGACTGTTTGAGCCCAGCTGCTCAAAAGTAGCCTGGGAAACTTGAAGAAAAGAGGAAGAAAAACAAAGGAAAGGAAGAAACAGAAAGCTACAGGTGGCAGAGTCAGATGTGGAGTCTGGGAGGCCTGGCTCCGGTGTGTCCTTTGAATCCACATTATGGGGACCAGCAGCGCTCAGCCACCACCTGCCCGCCTCCAGAGAAGTGACACCCGGACACTCAAGGCAGGTCAAGCGACTCATCCTAAGGCAAAAGCTGCACGGGGCCCAGGCCCCACCGCCCGCCTGGGGCTGGAAGCCGGCCGCTCTAGGCACTTACTCATCAGGTCCCTGATGCGGCAGCTCTCGACGGTGGCTCTCACATCCTCCTGCAGCTTCATGTCTCTCTCGATGAGGCTCCACTTGTGCAAGAGGAGTAGGGCATCTCTGGTGGAGAGCATCGTCTCATTCACAGTGCATCGGCCCATGCCCTTGAAGGCCTGCAGGACGGTGGCCCGGTACCTCAGCACCGAGTCAAGCATCTCAAAGAAGCTGCTTAGCTGGGCAGACGCCAAGGTGGGCCTGTTTGGAAGTCAATGTTACAGACTGAGCAAAAGCTACACCCCTGTCCTGGAAGCCTGCGAATGTCACAAACGGGCCACCCAGGCCGCAGTCTTCCCGTCACGAGACACTGGTGTGGCCGCAGTACATAGGCAAGGGGAGGCACAGAGGAAGACCTGGAATCCAGCCTCGGCCCTGGAGCGAGTTTAGCTAAACTCAGCAGCCAAGCAGGAAGCGTGAGGGTCAGAGGCCAGGGGCCGCACAGAAATCTACTCCGGGACACTGCCCCCCATCCCAGAAACAGAGGCTCATGTGAAAAGGCCAAGCACTGCCACTGTGGCCAAAGCCTCAGCGATGGGTGCTGAGAGGAAACAGACCTCTCTGAACCCCAAGAAACTTAAAGTTCAGCTCTTCTGTTCCACACAGTGTTAATCTGAGTCCAAAAGATCATATGAAAATACAGAAATATTTTGGAAAACTCAAAGACGCGTGAGTCTGCAGATGAACAGAGGCAGAGGGGACTACTTGGGAACACTCTGTCTTAGGTTAAGGTCACAGACAGTATGCTCTTCTGCGAAACTGCACTGTGTTTGTTTGATCAGCATTTCCGGGTAGATGATTCACCTGCTAAAAATGACCTTGTGTGGTGCATTTTAAAAGTGTGTTCAGGGCCGGGGACTTAGCTCAGTGCTTCTGCCGCCTGCCTCGAAAGCACAAGGTCCCGAGCTTGATCCCTGGCACCAAAAAGTATGTTCAGTTCTCAGGGCACTCTGAGCCTCCCGAAGTGTAAAGGAAGAGTGTAGAGATGCCCTAAAGCCCCCACCTGCACCAGTGCTCGGGCCTGCACAGTCCTGGCTGAGCCCTGGTGGCCACAGGTGATGAAGACAGTGAGCGGCCCTGGCCACCAGCACCTCCTGCAGGGCAGCAGGGCCCCTGCCGGGGCAGGCTCACCTCAGGTCCTTCACGAGCACAAGGAGGACATAGAGGAACTCATTGACCAGGTGCAGGGCAAGCAGCTTGCGAGGCTCCCGGAAGCCGGGCTGGTTTGGTGGCTGGCTGCCCGCCTCCATGCCTTTGTCCCCCAGGTTTGTCACCCACAGCTTGTGCAGCAAGGAGATCACATTGGCCAGCAGCTGAGTCTCCAGAAACCTGAAGGCAGACACAACAGTGGTTCACTCTGCCATGTTGTCACCCATCAGGGAAGCCAGTCTCGGGGGTCAGTGGGGAGGCTGGGACTAGACACGGCACCGGTGGCCGTACCAAGCGGGCCCAGTACTCCCATTGCTCCTGCCCCCAAAGCACATGCTCTAAGTGAAGACAGGGTATAGCTTGAAGTTATGCCTAAAGACAAAGAATATTATTTTCCTTACAGAAAGTTTAGAAAATACTTTAAGAATGTACAAGAGGGTATAAGAACCCCTGGTCTTGTCACAGCTAGAGCTGCAGACTTGTCTCCTGGACCTTGTGTTGGCAGTGGACTGCTGAACCCTGTCAGCTGGGGACTTGGCTCCAGATGACAGGACAGCCCTGGGAGCATGGCAAACTGCAGATCTCAGGCAGGAAGGCTGCTGGGCCTCTGCCACTATCAACGGCAGCTGTGTATGGATCCAAGGCAGATGAGAACCCGAGAAGAAAGACACCAATGGAGAAAAAGCTACCTGGGGACTCCCAGGAGCTGGACGCCAGGCGCATGCGGTGTCCTTAGGATGCTCCAGCTGACACCGGAGCAGGCAGCAGACATCCCACCCGGCACACGTTCTCTCACACAAACGGCACTGACCTGCTCTCCAGGATGTGCAGAATCCATGTCAGAAGACTGTAGTCCCGCAGGATTTCATAGGCAGATCTGGGAACCTGGGCTATGTTCTGTAGAATTTCTAGAATCCAGTTCTGAAAACCCAAAACAAAAAAATACTCCTTGATGGGGAAGCTGAACTTACTTGATCAGAGGAACCACTTAAAAATGTGATGGAGTCTATGGTTCCAGGCGGTTGCTGCACTTGAGGGCTGTTTTGCTAAGTCTGCCGGAGTGGTGAGTGAGAAGGAAGGCACCTTTCCCTGGCAGTGACAGCCAGAAAAGTCTCAGCGATCACAGGTCTGGAGACCCCTGCTCTAGGAACCCGCCACAAGGAAGCAATCCGTAAGCAAAGACGCATCACGGAGACGGCGAGCTCGGGACGCAGGCCCATCTCTAGCCCGGGGTGACACCAGCAGCCCATGCTGTCGACTTCACCACCTGGCAAGGGGCCGTCATCATGGGACCCCCCGAACTGCTGACTGGATGCCTTGGAATGCTCATGTGCTGTAAAGTAAAAAGCTGCCATGTTCAAATTCCATGTATTCAAACGTACTTCTTGGTCGTGACTCACTGTCATTTCCCCACATTTTATATATTAGGAATAAAGGCCGACTGGGGTAGGAATTATTCAAAATACAAAAGTTTCTTCTATTTATCTTTTTTTGGCAGGGGGCTGAGACAGGGTGTTGCTATGCCGTTCAGGCTGGCCTTGAAATCACTATGTAGCTCAGGCTGACCTCCAACTCCAGGTGATCCTCCTGCCTCAGCCTCCTGAGTGCTGAGATTATAGGTGTCCACTACTGCACCCAGCCCCATTTATTTCTTTTAAAGCCCTGTGACATTCAGAAAACACATCAGCTCTTCATTCTAGGGCAGTGGTCCCCAACCTTTTTTGCACCAGTCACTGGTTTCGTGGAAGACAAATTTTTGGGATTAGATTCTCATAAGGAATGAGCAACCGAGATCCTGCGCAAGCACATTTCAGAGAAGGGCTCGTGCTTCCATGAGATCTGACAGGAGGCGGAGCTCAGGCAGGAACATGAGCTATGGGGAGCAGCTACAAATACAGATACCGCTTTGCTCAGCTGCTGTGTGGCCCGGTCCCTAACAGCCCGTGGACCGGGCACTACTCTGTAGCTCCTGTTCTTTGGGACAGAGTGGACGCACAGGTTCCTGAGCAGTGAGGGGAGCAGCAGCTTCTGTGCTCGAAGAGCCATCACCTGCATCACGTCCGCAGGGTGACCGCTTCCGGGCTTCCTGGCCACTCCAGGGCTCAGGATGATTGATGGGTCCCAGAATGAAGAGGCCTTCCTATCTGCCAAGGACACAGCTGGGAGGCCCACCAGGAAAAGGATTTCACCATCGGACAAGTGGTACTCGGTGTTCAACACCTCGTCCACGAGTGAGTCAGTGGCACCATGCAAGCAACCGGATGGGCGCTAACGGAGGCTCATTTACCCAGTGCGGAGCCAGGTTTAGGGCAGCCACAGCCCTCCTGGCAGAGAAATCACATGGGCTTGGTCAAACCAGGAGGAAGAGCAGCGATCCTTCAGTCTCAAACTTGCAGAACCACTCACCTGCGACACTTCATCACACAGCGGGCTGCTGAAGAAGGACAGGATGATGTGGAAGATGCCCCGCCTGGCACACAGCTCGTAACACTGCTTGTCGCGAATCCCCTGCCGCAGAATTCCAAGCACCCATTCCTGCTCAGTTTTGTGCTGCAACCCAGGCCAAGCAGAAAGTACTGTTAAGTAGGGCGAAGGCCCTCTATCTGACAGGTCTTCAAATACCACGAGTTTCCAGTGGTGGCCAAGACGGTATGTAACATAGCAGCCCCAGCTCTCATCTCTCAAAATCCTCGATCTCATCTTGGATTCTCTCCTCAGGTCGGGAATACAGGCCAAGCAGGGCTGGAACACTGAGCTGTGCTAAGCCAGTGTTCCACATGGGATAGTTAATCTGCAGCCCGGGGACTGACTGAGGGAATGGATGCAGAGCATTATGGGTCTGAGAAGCGACATAAAGAACACACAGAATGGGGGCACTGTTGATGCAGAGCCTGTGAACTGCTCTTCCCTGACCTTCTTGCTCTACTGTGCTTGTGCAATCGTGTCAGCTGTGTGACACACTGTATGCCTCATCAGAGAGGCAACCATGGCCGAATAACCCAGGGTGGGACCTTGGCAGCATACCTCAAAGTCAGAGCTGTAGAAGAACTGGTAGAAGCCCGGCACCTTGTCCATGTTCAGGTACTCGTGTGACAGCAGGAACTTGCTGATCTTCCAGTACATGTGCTCCTCTGAGGACATAGGCAGACAGTCACCAACTAGGTGTCAACAGGATCCCTGGGCCAGGGTACAGTTCTTGGGAGTTAGGATACAATCAGACCTGCACACAGTCCACTGCTCGATGTGGCTGCAGGGAGAACAGCGCAGGGGGCCCCACACCCAGCAGCCCCACCTGCTTCCAGCCTCCCACAGAAAGGCTCTGTCCCAGCGAGGGGCTGCAACATCTGGGGCCCTGGCTCTTGAAGGCAGAGTTGGACGGATGCCTCCTCCTGTGGCAGCTCCAAGGCCAGCCCAGGATCCCCGCTGCCCACAATGCCCCACCCGACACATGGGCAGATGAGGTACACACAGGGCAGAGCTACTCCCACATGCCACACACTGGACGGGAGGATGGGACCACGAACACTACGGTCTCTCCCGGATTTTCTCATAACAGGCCCTTTTGTTTAGTGACTGCAAATGATTATTTTCCTTCTGCCCTGAATTTGCAAGGCATGAAAAACCATGTAATAAGAATTAAATGGGAGCCAATGAAAATTAGATCTGAATTCTAAGAGCGGCAAACAAATCATGGAACTTTGGACATGAGATTAAACCTACTTGGTGTGTGGGAGTGGGGGGATTGGCTGGGGGGCTGTTTCCTCACCAGGGATGTGACCCGGACAGACTAAAGGGTCCCGAGGTCCCCGATGCTACCAACATTCTATCACTTTCTCTGAGTAACCCAAGACCAAGGCCTGGGTAAGTGAACGCCTCTTCCTCACACTGCCTTGGCAGAGCTGCCCCTGCTCCCTGAGGGTGACAGACTGAAGCCCTGTTCTGACACCCAGGGCTCTCCACTAATACCGCCTTCTGAACACGGATCAGGGACCAGAAGAGCGGTGACGACGGCAGAGCTGATGGGTGTCCACAGGGCCAGGCACCGTCTGAGGGCTTTGATGTGCATGGCCCACACCAGGCTCACAGCAATCCTAGTGGTGGGAGCGGAGGGTACTACTCCTCTCCCTCATTTCAGAATGAGGGAATGGTGGCCTGGAGAAGCCAGAAGAAGTCTCACTGGAGCCTATCCCTCAGCCCACAGACGTGATCAGCTTGGGTCTTTATTTCAGTTTTACTTGCTTGTACAAGTTTCATACAACTACTAGCAAATACAGATGTGTGTTCCTTCCCCACCACACACACCATTCTGCACCTCGCTTTCTCATTCTGCTTCTGCTGGATTTCACCCCACAGGGTCCACAGAGCTCCCCGCAGCTGTCACTCATCTCCTGACCACTGCTGACCGGTGCTGTGGTGGTTCCCAGCCCGTTACATGCAGTGAATGACCGTGAGTGTGTCAGTTCCCAGGGATGTGTGCTGTTACACCTGCGCCATTAAACCCTAGACACGGGCCCATTTTCTAATTTCTCCTCACCCAGATTACACATCGGGGGTACCTGGTTTCAGAATCTGCAGGGCCACCTTGGCAATGAAGAGAGCCAGGGTGAAAGGGAGCCTCAGGTTTGGGGTCCGAATGCCGTTCCGGACTACATCCAGCAGGTAAAGCAGCTGAAAGGAGGGGAGGGGAAAAGGGTATTTTCAGAACGGTGACTGCCTTGCCTGCTCCTCCCATCCTGGGGACACAAGAGACAAGCTCAGGGTAGAGGACACCATGCTTATTGCCAACCCAGGGATGCTTTCTGGGTCTTACTTTGAGGAGGCAGACTTGTGCCTGGTGGCAGACAGAAGCCTGGCACTAGGCCCTGAATCCAACCCACTCTTATTCCTCTGCCACCTCCAGGCACAGCCACCTTCACCACTGCATTCAGATCAAATAATCAACAGCAACCAAACCCCTTTGTCTGCCCGCAAGAGTTTGTAAGGGGAAAACCAGCTCACCCTCCCCAGGGGGTGAGGGTAAAGGCAACCTTCTGTGTCCCTTGCCAGGGGGAGCAACCTCCATCTCCCAGCAACAGGCCAGCTCCAAGTTCCTCCACCACCCTCCCTCCAGGCTGGGCCGCCTGGGGGAGGGGGCGGCTGTCCTCTTCCCACTCACCTGGGACTGCTCCCGGAAACGAGCCCCCTCCAGGTGTGAGTAGAAGGCTGCCAGGATAGAATAGGCTGCCGCTCGCATCTGGGGGTCGTAGCTGCTGAGGGCCGCAACAGTTAGGCCCAGAGCGTTTGAATCCAAGAATTTTCGACAATCCACCACAAATTCTACCGGAAGGAAACACACTGTTAAACACACACAGTGAGATTTCACGGCTCTTGGGCAACTTGGAGAATTCAGTTTCCTTCTGCCTCTTACCAATAGCAGCTACTTGTGCTGGATACCAGGAAGCAAGTCTCTCCGGGTGACCCTAACTGTTGCTGAGGCAGGACAGAGACTCTCTCCCCTTCTCTGCCAAGGCTGGGAAATCCTAACTGGGGTTATCTCATTATTTCTCACCATACGCAACAAGCCAGACAAGACACAGGCGACACAGAGGCCCACTGCAAATCTCAGCAGCCAGAGGTCTGGGACACAGCTGGCAGTCAGCAGAGAGACGGGCACCCAGCTCGACCCTGCCCAGACCACTGCCTCAGGGGTCCTGCCCACAAGCACCGAAGGAGGACACACGGGGCAGAGTGCAAGCTGAGAAACGCGCCAGTGCACTCCCGGCGGGCGGACCCGATCCATCGATTTCACAAAAAGATTACCTACACCTACTCTGCAACCCTCGTTCACACTTCAAACCACAAAAATCTCTCCAAGGAGTGGCTCACCAAGCTTGAGCAAAAGCTACAGGGAAAAGAGTCCACTGGCCGACATCCACTTGCCGCCTCAAGATGCTAACTTCGCCAGGAGAGAGCAAGGCTGAGAGAGAAGGGCAGATACTGTTGTGACACTAGCGAGAAGGGAGGGGGCCAGACTTAGCACAAAGTTATCTTTTTGAGACAGGTTCTTCCTTGTGGTTCAGGCTGACCTTGAACTGACTGTGTAGCCAAGGCCGGCCTCAAACTGGTGGCAATCCTGTTTCCGCCTCCCAAATGCTGGGATTACAAGCTGTGTCACCATGCCCAGCACCACAATTTAAAGGGCTTGTTTTCACTCATAAGATTTGGAACACTTCAACACCTCTTTCATAAGAACCTGGGCCCACTGAACTATGAGGATTCTTCATGGAAGTATTTCAGATAGGAGGAAAATGATACCTGAGAGAAATCTTGATCTGTTGAGGTATGATCAAAATAAATACGATGAATGTTTAAATTTTTAAAAATTTAATACAGTATAAGGCATGTTGCCATTAAGTCCTCTTTCACAAGTATCTTTATGAAGTATGATCAAAAATCCAGTGAATGCTGCTGCTGAGAGCCAACCAATGGAAGAGGAGGCGTGTGGAAACATTACAGTGTGTCCTCATCCACCTCATTCACCAACTCTGGCTGAGGGATGCAACTTCCGGCTCTTCCCCAGAGTTAAAACGAAATCAATTCAGCACATCACGGCAGCCATGACAGTGCAATTAAAGACCCTCACAAGAGGACTCCAGAACTGCTTCAGGCAGTGGCAAGAACCGTGGGATGAGTGTGTTTGAATCAAGGGCAAATATTTTGAGAGATTAATGGCAATACATCATTTACTATAATAAAATGAAACGACCCACTCACTATATTTTTTGATCATACCACATACACAAAGGAATGGAGAGAACAAGAAATCCCAACTATATGGTAAATCTGAAATATTTAAATTTCTTTAAAAAATAATGACAATTGGAAGTAAATATAACATATTATGAGATTTACAGGTTGCCCTTTGAAGTAAAATGTATGATAAGAACACCACAAAAGCCAGGAAGAAAGAGACGGATCTATACTTTGATAAAGTTGTAACACTATGCATAAAGCAGAATCATCTCACTAGAAAGGGAACTGCGATACACTAAAGATGTATGCTATAAATCCTCAAGCAGCCCCCAAACAAGCACACACACACACACACACACACACACACATTGTACCTAAAAGGTAAAAAGAACACAGAAGATAAAATGGAATCAGATCAATAATCACATTAAATGCAAATGGTATATATGACTTCAATTAAATGGCAGAGACGCTAAAGAAAAAAGAGGCACAGATTATATTAGATAAAAAGTAAATTTCAAATATATGCTGCCTATCAGAAGTCCACTTTTAATATCAAGACAGACTTAAAGTGGAAGAACTGAAAAAATACAATCATCTTATGGACTCAATTTTCTAATTTCTTATAAACAATTTTGTTTTTGGAGACTAGGTCTCACTTTGCGTTCAGGCTGGCCCTGAACTCACTTTGTAGCCCAGGCTGGCCTTGAACTCATGGCAATCCTCCTGCCTCTCTGCTTCTCGAGTGCTAGGATTACAGGCATGTGTTGCCACACTCGCTGGGCAAGCAATTTTTTTTTGAAAGAGGAAAAGAGCCCAAAAGCTTACAAACATCAAACTGTTGGTATGATTATATTGTTTTGGAAAAGATGTGTTTAAAAGACAATATGCACATGAATAGAATATATCTGAGAGACAAAATGGTCTAAACACTTAGTATTACACTCATTAAAAAGAGCTATACTCAAATGGGTGGGGTATTTTTAGTAAACACTGACATTCTAAGACAAATGAGTCTACTGCGGTGCATGAGGAAAATTCCAATTTCATGTTTCATCTCTGCTTCTCTACAGAAGTCCTGGCTCTGTAACATTTATGGAAAAGAGCTGCCCTTGGAATGCTGAAAATACAATGGGCTATTTAAAATCATTATAAATACCATTCTCTCTGTTCTGAGAACCTTACGAACAGCAAGTTGGCTTCAGATAACAGACCTTCAGGTCAAAATGGCTCGGCCAGAGCAACTACCAAGGATTAAAATCAATGCACCCTGGTCTCAGCGGGTTTCCCGGCAGTGCCCAGCTCTTGGGGACACCCAGAAGCCTCTTCTCAGCATCAGATGCGTCCTGCCAGCCAGGCGCATCACAGGGGGAAGAGTCCGTGGGGCAGTGCGATGAGGCTCAGAAAACAAGTGGCCCTTCCTGTGCCAGCCTCTTATGGGCATGTGAATTAGGAGCTAGAGATCGCTGCCCTGTTCTACTGTGGCAAAGCATTTGTCTCTGGCATTGCTAACAGCCTTGGCTGCTCCCATTTCTTGCCGGAGGACTCAAGGAGGGGAAGCAGTAAGGGTAAGAAAACAGGATGCCACTTTCAGCAAAGGGTTGAAAATGGAGTGGCGAACCATGGTTTCCCTGAGGACAGCACACACTCAAGACTCATGAGCTGCCCATTCGGGACTGCGAGGAGGTCAGCGACACCCGGGCCAGGTGAGAGGCAGAAACTCCCCGGGAGCCTTCTGCTGCCCAGAGCTTGGCTGGACCCCACAAGGGCAGAAGGAAGCTGGCCCTGGAGAAGGCGTCACGTATGATGCCATTTAGGTGGATCTCAAATGCACAACACCGCCCACCCCCAGGGGCTGAGGCCTATCGACCATGCCTGTTCCCCCGGGAAGATGGGCCCAAAGCTCAACCCAAGGGAGCAATCTGAGTACTCTTCGGTATGTCACGTTCAACTCACTTTCGCGCACTAGCAAGTGTATTCTGATGAACCGACGTGCTGCTTTTCAGCACAGTGTGATTTGTTTAAAATATCAGACTTCTGCCTTTTGCTCAGGACAAAAAGCCACGAGCAACATCTAAGAAGCCTACCTGTGTGCACGTGCGTGTGTGTGTGTGTGTGTGTGTGTGGTGGTAGTGGTGTTTGGTCCATCTACTGTATTTTCCTCTCCATTTCCATGGTTTTTGAAATGTTCTACTTCAATGTGAACTTTTGGTTCATCAGTGTTTTGAACTATCAAAAAACCCTTTTAAAGATGAGGGTGAGTGTGCTTTGCATTTACCCAAAAAAACCCTGTATTATATCAATGACTTAAAATAGTCCGTTCTGGGATATTTAAAGGTAAGGGGAACAGTGACCAATATATTTCCCTAATTTAAAAGATCATTTGCCAGTCACTTCCCATCATAAAAAGCTTCCCAGGCCCAGCCCCTGACCAAGAAGAAAAAGTACAGTATTCAAGATTTTCTGAAAAACATCCTCCTGACTTTACTACTAAATATTTTCCATGCCACTGCCTCTGTCTTCTAAAGGCTCCATTGTGAGACAGAGGGAGAGAATAAATGATTTGCTGTAATTCACTTGGGTTACAATGGCCAGGAGCCTTGAGTTGTATTTTTAGACCGCGGAACATCTATTTTCATGTTTGATGAGGAATCGGGCTGGCAGCACCGCCAAGGCCCAGGGAACTCAGAAGAGCTCCTGGCCACAGACAGGGGACCCTGCCTCGGTTCACCTGCTGCTCAGGGTCCCCGCGGCTATTTCTTAGCACGGCTGACCTGGGTATGGAAGGGCCCTGCTCTCCTTCAGGTAAAACCCAGCTTTAGTCACCAGACACAGAACACGCAGGGAGCTCGTGGCAGCACAAAGGGTCACCGACAGGGAAGTCTCCCTGGAAAGCCAGCCCCCCCAACCCTTCTAAAAGTACAAAGGGCAGTGCCAAAGGTCACAGAGGCCAGGCCTGCCCCCGAGGCCCAGCCGTGTCCGAGACTGAGAGCTCAGAGGCCTGGGAAAGCAAGCAGACTGCAGAGACAACAAGGGGCTGGGGACACGCGTGCCTGCAGAGCAGGGATGCCACGGCCAGAGGCCCCGTGAGAAGGAGACTTTCACCACAAACCCTCGGCACCACCTAAACTGTTACAAATGCTGAAACTACTTCACTTAGATTGTCAGTTCTGACAAGTGGGATAAGCATTCTCTTCCTTATTTTTCCTATTAAGTACAAGGAAGGATTTTTTTTGGTGGGGCGAGGAGGTTGACACAGGGTCTCACTATACAGTTCAGTCTGGTCTTGAACTCATTATGTAGCCTGGGCTGGCCTCCAACTCTCAGTGATCCTCCTGCCTCAGCCTCCCGAGTGCTGGGATTATGCACCACCATGCCCGACACAACTGAGAGTCGTGAACATTATATACAAAATAAACCTAAAATGACTAAAAGAGAGAAAGCAGACCAGCTCAAGACATTAAGACCCAAAAAAGGGCAAGGAGGCGAGTTCCTGGGCTGTCCTTCTACCTCCTACATTCATTCCAGAGTTGGAGCTGAAGAAGCCAGCGACTCAGAAATGTCAACAGGCACAGCCTCCAGAACCTGCTCTCAAGCCAGGACTGGAAAGGGCCGGGCTAGCAAGACAGAAACCTTTCAGATGGCCAAACGTGTCACTGCAGACCCTCCCACCACCCAGCCAAGGCAGATGGTGAGGGGGGGAGACTTCCGCCCCTGCCAGGCTGGAGGAGACAAGCCACTGCTGAGATACTTTCACCCCCACTGTGCAGTGACAGCACCCCCTGCTCCCCACTGCGGTGTCAGAGATGGACCCATCGCCTGGGGTCAGTTACAGCCACCTCAACCCTGCACCTCACACAGAACTAGCGAGTACATATGGCTGACTTATAAGCTTAAAACTTTCAGTAAAAGCTTTTGCTCTGTGACAGAGGGTGAAAAGACAAGCTATAGACAGAATGTGACCTTCCTATCTTCCTGGGGATGAGTTATATATGCAGGCTACATAAAAACCCTCAAAGCTCAGCAGTAAAACACAAAACCTCATTAGGAAAAGCACAAACACATGACAAGCACACGTCGCACCAAAAAGGGACTCTGAGTCTCTAACGTGGATCAATCGATTCGGTCTTGCTAGCACGTGTACAATTTGTCCCCATTTATCTACTTTCGCTTCCCATGATTTCAGTTACCTGCCATCAACTGTTGTCTGAAAACTTTAAACACAAAGTTCCAGTAAGAGCAACTCGTGGTTTAAGGGTGTGCAGCTCTGAGAGATGATGAAGTAACCGTTGGTCTGTCGGGAAGGAAGGGGTCATCATCTGTGTCCCGGCTCCTGCCCTTCACTTAGTGAATGGCGTGTGCATCACACTGACTGCTGGGACCGCCACACCCATGTCCCATGCTTAAGAAGGTGGCCCCAAAGTGTGAGCAAGCTGATGCTGGCACATGTCAAAATGAAGCCGCCATGTGCTTCCTCCAAGCAAAAAGGTCCAAAGTTCTTGACTTCAGAGAAAAAATTGCAGGTTGAAAATCTACGGCAAGCTACTGTTCATCTCTCACTGTAACTTATCCAAGGTCTGGATGAAAGGAAAACATGCCTGTGTGCAAGGCTCAGCACTACCTGCAGTTCCAAGCATGTACTCGGGGTCTTGGAATGTGTCCCTCAGGTAAGAAGGGACTGAGGCCCACGTGCTCCTTTTCCCTTTCCGTCACTCTCCCACAAAGGGCCCCACCCCTGGCTACTAGACACAAAAGCGTTCTCAAAATGTACTCCAAGCAAGAGGCTGGCCTCGGCAGACTCAGACTCATCCCCAAGGACGGAGATGCTTGTTTCCATTAGTAGTATCTGACCACTACCCAGTGAACATCCACAACACGGTCGTCACTAGGAATCAGGAAGACGTCGAGGACAGACAGACAGACACTTGCAGATTTTGAGACTACAGATTTTTTAAAGAATTGCCATATATTCAAATCATGAAAACAAAAATTGCTGTACATTCAACAACATGACAACTGACTTTGCTGACAATCAAGGAGAGGCTGACAATCCTGAAGGACCAAGTTTCAAGATCCAGGCCCTAGTCGAGTGTCATGGTGACAATCCCAGCATCTCCTGCCCCAGAACCCCCAGCAGCAGACCCCACTCCGAGAGGGAGGCAGTGCTTACCCGGCCTGGTCAGTTCCCTGAAGAGATGAAGGAGAAAGCAGGGGTCGTACAGGCCACTGGGATCCACTCTCATGATCTTGTCTTTGAATAGTGCTTCCTGGGCATCCTGAAATATCCAAAACCAACACAAATGCACGATTCAACTTCACAAATGCAAAAGCATAACTGTGAACCCACTGCTGCTGGAGCTCAAATTATTTTGACTATTTAACAGCATCAAGCAAAAGTGGCTCTAAGCCAGGCGTGGTGGCACACACTTGTAATCTCAGCACTCAGCACCTGGGAGGCTGAGGCAGGAGGATCAAAAGGTTTGCCCAGCCAGGCCAACTTAGTGACTCAGTGGGACCCTGTCTCAAAATAATAAATAAGAAAGAGCTAGAGCTATAGCTCAGGGTGAGGAAGGCCTGGCCGGGGAGGGTGGCTCTATAAAAAGTGCTTATATGTGAAATATAATCTTTGGGATTTTCTTAGAATAAGCCTTAGTGGGGAAGAAAGGAGTAACGAATGAAATAAGAGGGTAAGTGACAAGGGCTGAAGCTGGGGGACAGTCCATGGGGCAGCTCTGTACCTCTGCCTGGGGTTGGCACTCTACTGAATAAAAAGGAAGTAAGCTATCAGAGCCAAGGGAGCAGGCAGTGTGGGAAGCAAGGGGGTGGAACCGCAGCGGCCGCACCTCAGGGGGCAGCAGCCTCCGGTTCTGGGGGAAGTGCAGGATGGTGTGCAGCATCCGGTCCCGGTCCAGCAGGCAGAGGATGTCGGCGACACTCGGCTGCTGCCACAGAGACTTGCCCAGGCCCCGGCACGTCTTGTGATGCTCCACGGCCGCCGGGCCCCACAGCAGCACCCTAGAGCCAGAGGAACAGACAGACTGGTCACGGAGCTCGGAACCGGTAATGACGGCCAGGACAGGGAGCGCTGGTTCTGGTGTGCGCCTGCGTGCCGTGCCTGGCGCGGTCCTAAGTCCTTTATTTCACATCACCTGCACAGCTCCATCTGGAAGCGCTCTTCCCGCTCCCTGTGCGAGGCGGGGAAGAAGTATAGGGATGATCAAGCCAGTCGCTCAGTGGGTCGCCAGCCCAGCAGGCAAGGGAGAGGACTGAGATTCAATCCTGGGGAGTCTGGCTTGAGGCCGTGCTAGACCGGGTGCAGAGTCACGCCCTCTCGCTGCCCTCAGGGCGCCACCAAGGAGCCAGGCCACCGCCCCGCCTCGAGAGCCACCACACGGTGGCCCAGCCTCAGACCCAGCCTCTTCCTCACCCCTGCCAGGAGGCGCCCGCAGCGCAGCTCTGAGGGCCATTTCCTGCTCAGACGCACTGCCTGCTTTCTGACAGCGCCACTTCAGCCTGACACGGGGGAGCAACTCCGCCCAGCCCCTGGCCTGCCCACTGGGTCGCCCCGCATACGCCCTGTGACCTGGCGAAGGCCAGAGAAGGCCGCGGTGTGGAGTGGGCTGTCCCCGCTCAAACTCCCGTGGACGCCCGCTTGCTCACTGTGAGAGGAGGCGGGGCCCTGGGAGGCAATCAGGCCCAGCCCCACCCACGCCGGGTCTCAAGGGCTGCAGACTGCCGCAGAGAGGCTGTCCTCCCCCACCCCGCGCCTCCTGCCACTGTTCCTGACGTAGCCAGGGCCTCACCCAACACTGGGGCCCTGCTGGCTGCTCTCAGCCGCCAGCACTCTGACATCTGTCACCCTTTTTCTCTTACATCCCCCGGCATGAGGTATTTTGTTACAGCGATGCACAATGGACTCAGACACTGCCCCCTTCCCACCACTGAGCACGCCGTCCCTCCTGGCCATGCTCACCTCAGTGGAATCCCTCCTGCCTTTCCAATGCCAGCCCCGCCACACAGCATCCTGACTGCACCGGGCACAGCCCTGGCTGCAACAGCTGGGTCACAACACAGGGCATGAGCCAGAGGTGGCTTCTTTGCTGTGAGGTGGGGAATGAACCCAGGGTTGTTCTACCACTGAGCTGTATACCCCTACCCCAGCACTTGGCCTCCCATGGAGCTAGGATTACAGGTGTGTACAACTAGACGGCCAGCTCAGACACCATTTTCAAATTAGTCCAATTTCTGAAAGCCTGGCACCTTTGGTAAGGTCATGGTAACTTGTCTGATTCCTCTTGGTTTTCCTGAGAGTGCCAATCGAGCCCAGCACCTCCTAAACAGCAGGTACTCAATGAAGCACTTATTAAATACTTCAGAGAGGATTCTTCTAAAGACTCACTTCTGTGAAATTAAACAATAGCTGTCCAAGTGAGAAAGTAAAGAATCTTTCTTTAGGAAAGCGCTCGCTGCTGCCCTGGACACCTGCCAGCCAGGGTCAACACTGGACTAACGAGAACGTCGACCCCGAGTGCCCACAGGGCTGGGGGGCGCCTCCGGCATTCAGGCCGCCCCACATCTGGTCTGAGGGTGCTGTGTGGTAGTCATCTCGAGAGAGGGAAGCACACGACAAGGAAGGACAATACCTACCCAGGACCGGGCCGTTCTTTCTTCAGTACCGGGTACTGAACCCAGGGCCTTTGCATCAAGCTAAATCCCCACTCCCTTTTTTTTGTGACAGGGCCTCACTAAGTCACTAAATTGCCCAGGCTGGACTCAAACTAGTGATCCTTCTGCCACAGCCACTGAGCACCAAGGTCACAGGCCTACAGCATCGTACCTGTCCTGCAGTCTCAAGTAATAGAGAATGTTTCTATTTCCTTTTTTTTTCTTTCTTCTGGGCTAATTCAGCTTTCATCTTTAAACAAGGTGCTCTACAAGGAAAATGCTTTCTTTTCCCTGCAGAGTTTTCCTGGACTCTTTCTTGTCCTAGTTAGCTCACTTCCTGTCTGAACACAAGGCCTTTACGTTTATCTTGGGCAGACAGGAGGGCACTGGTTCCAAATGATGAGGAGAAAAGAAGAATCCAGGGCAATGAAGAGAATCCAAGAGTCTTCCTATCCAGGGCAGGCTTGGTCACTCCCTCCTCGGCCCCAGGGAGCAGCACTATGCAGAACAAGGGCAAGGCAGGAAGCCTGCTGGAGGCCAGGACACACAGAGGGAGAATGACAGCACGAGAGGCAGAGACAGGGACACACACAAGTGTGCAGACGGGATTTCACGTTCAGCCTTCCTCTCTTCTCCCCCAAGCCCTTCATCAAGTCAGCCACTCAAGAGCTCCTGGCGAGGGGCGACCTGGGGGCAGGTCCTCCAGACAGGTGCCCATCAGTCCACAGGGGCGGCCTGTGCAGCAGATATCGCCTTACAGTGTGAGGCCACGTCTTGCCCAAGCAGCTTTGCTGGGGCTATGCAGGAGCTGGGGGGCTCTGTGCCTGTAACCCTTTCCCTGAGAATCAAAAATAGACAAGAAAAACCCGGGACCTGGAGCCCACTGTGCCGAGGGGGCTACACCATGAGGGCCCTTTCTGTCCACAGTCCGCGCCCACCTGCAATCCCAACCCTCACCGGAAGTCGATGAGGCTGAGCTTGTTCTGTTCATACGCCCGGAGAAGGAATAAGATCTTCTGGTCTAGAAGTCAAATGGCGGTCGCGTTAGGAGGCCGAGCCCCTGACGCACAAGGGAGGCCCTCCCCTGGTCCCCAGCCCTCACGTCTCACCCAGGGTGCTGAGGGTGGCACCATAGGCCCCGAGCAGCACTGCGAGGTGGCTGCTCTCACACACAGAGGGGCACATCCTCACCACGGTCGCCATCAGATCCACCAGGGCTTCTGGAGGAAGCAACACTGAGTGAGCAGCACTGCCGGGGATCACACACTGGGGCAAAAGTAAGGGAGGGGTGCCTGGAATGGGGACAACCCAGAAATAGCCCCCCTCACAGCCGTTATCCTGGGGCCACCATCTAGGCCTTTCCCTGTCCTTAGATATTTTAAAAATAAACACCTGTACACAATCAGGGTCTCTAGGTCCTTGACAAGCCTGAGGATTGGTCTGCTCACGCCCTCTCTCAGATTTTAAGCCACCTAAGATTTTTAAACTTACGTATTTCCCCCACGATTATGCTATCAAAACCCTTAATACTCCTACTCCTTCGTGAATAGTGGGCAGAGCCCTCTGTTCTCTCCTACCCATAGCAGGAATTTGGCAATAGCTGTCTTCCACCCCGCAGCTGGACAGAGCCTGGCCCCCTGTGATTTCCGTTGGTCTGGGGCTGCTGAGCGTCTCAACATGTAGACCGCGCCCTCAAGGGGGCGTCGACCTGCAGACTGGCTTCTCTGACATCCCCCTCAGCCCACACCACTCTTGGGACCCGGGGAAGTAGGGCGGATGCTCCCTGAATCAGGGATGGAAACAACCTGGCCTTTGGAAGTGTTCTAGAGCAGTGGACGGCTAACGAGCATGTTCCAATCTTTTCCCCTCGACCAATTCCAGTCATCCCACTGTGCAAATCTGTGCCGCTCATCAATTCCTCTCTGGTCAGACCTCCACGTTGGTTTTCCCCATACCTCCTAACCTCACCTAGCACCCAGACTATAGCACTGCAACCTGACAGGCGGCATGAGCTCTGTGAGCAGGACAAGGCCTCAAAACAGCTCTGCAGGGCTGCGTGACCTGAGGCACAGCCATGTTTCTTTACCCTGGATCTGACAGAAAAGAGACAGTTTTGCCAATGCTTGCTTAGCTCTGAAACCAGGAAATAAAAGCTGAACTGAACTGGGAGGGCAGGGCGGGGGCACCTTTTACATCACTGTCCGGCTTCTCCTCTCCCTCTGCCGTCAGCAGGCTTGGCAGGAACAGGGAATGCTGGGTAAGCATCATGTGGATGGTGGGGAGCTGCACGAGCCTGGCGTGCGCGGAGCTCTCCGGGCTGTACAGGAGCTGCAGGGCGGCGTGAAGGGTCTTTATAAAAGTGTTGTCCTGATACCGAAACCTGAGAGGAGGCATGAGACAAAGGGAAAGAGCTTCACAAAAAGTTTATTTATGGGACACAAAAAGGCAAATTTTTATTCTCAGATTTTTCTTAAGGAAATTTCCAAACAGCACAAAATTGAGACCTGTAGTGGACATCCATCCATACACCTATCTATCATCTGGATTCCCCCACCGACCCGGCCTCATGGCTGCTCTATGACACTCCTGTCTGTCCACCATCACAGGGACACTTCTGAAAAAAAGGTGGATAGAGCGCATTTCCATAGCACGATGGGGACATGGGTGAGAACTTAGTCCTCAGGAGCTTTTGTCATTGTACCAACACCAGTGTCCTCACGGACCTAAGGCAGCTACAGCATCGCTAGGCTAAATAACCATGTGTGGGACCACTGTCACCTGTCTATCACTGACTGAAGCGTCTTATTGGCACATGACTATATTTCCTTTATGACCCAAACGCCAAATGAACCTCTGGTTTAGTGGAAACACCAGAGGGAGTGGAACAGCTGAACCTGAGCTGCGACCCTGCCAGGCAGGCCTCTCTCCCTCCAGCCACTCAGAATTCCCATCAAAGGGCTCGGAAGCCACGCCTTACAGCTACTGAAGGCCCGCTAACAGAAAGGAAGCACTATGCTCTAAAATCAAGCTCTTTAGTTCTATGTGAGTAATTTTAAGAATCAATTACTATAAAGTGAGCATTCTGGAAACATCGATTAACCAAAGGCAGAAAACATGCTCCCATTCTATGATGCTTATTTATTGTTCTTCCTCACTTATTTCTCTCCTCTGCTTGGGACATTGTTCTCTGACTGAACTTTATGAATGATCAAGCAGAGGAAACTACTATGTGGCTGCCCAAAAGGAATGAGTCTGATCCCGTCTGGGACCAGGGAGGGTGCAAAGGCACATGAGCTCTTACACATTCCAGTGTCCCTAAAGGTGTGCCTCCTCTAGAAGCAGTGACCCCATCTCACACCGACACTGCCATCTGGGCACCCAGACACACGGGACGGTCACCCCAAGACTATAAACAAGAGACTCAGGGCAACAGTCCACACGTCTTTCAGTAGAGGACTGGCCAGGTACACCAGAGTGGAGTCCAAAGACAGAATGTTACACAGAGGAAAAATGAATTAAATCTGCATGAACCAATGTGGGCAAGTGAGAAACCTGAGGGAAATCCAGGACACATAAGGAATGCCACACCTGTGTACAATTTTAAACACACTAAATAACACGGGTGAAGCACATACAAAGTATGAAATACAAATGTACATGCACAAGACAAAGCACACACTCCACAGCTGCCGATCTTCAGTGGGGCAGGTGGGAGGTGAGAATGAATTTGGACAATTGTGGAAAATGGTCAGCACGTACCAAATTTGGATGCTGCTTTTCTTCTCGGCACATTTCTGTAGTTTTAAAATATTCCATTTTAAAAATGCTGCTCCTCTCTTCACCATTAGAAGCACCCAGGGGTCACTAGGGACATCATTTATCACGCCCAACAATCCTCATCCTCCACCTCCAAAGTGAGGATACACCTAGCTCTACCATGTGCACTATAATAACAAGCTACAAAAGCGCTCTGCAGGATCACCAGCATTCATGCCTTTGCAGATGGCACCAAGAGAATAAAATCTACTTACTTGAGTCCAGTCTTCATGAACTTCTGCCAATCACCAGGATCAATGTCATTAAGTGCACGCTATGAATAAAGCAAGAAGTACCCATGAGACATCTCCAGGCCCTCTACAGGCGCCAGCTGTACAGTCTTCGGGAAGGCACCCTCATGATTCTTCCTCAATAAAACATATGGCCCACGGGCTGAGAAATGCAGCTTTACCCCAGCCCTGGGGCTCTGGGCTGTGACTCTGCCCAGCAGCTCCTCTGTTCCATTCCTGATGGGGACGAGACAGCCCAACCTTATGGGGGCAGACTTATCTTAAACCAAAACCAAAACACAGACTATGGAATTGAAGTTAGAGCCAGTGAGAAAATTAAGAAACATAGCCAGCAGGGCATGATGGTGCATGACCGTAATCCCAGCAGTTTGAGAGGCTGACGCAGGAGGATCAAAAGTTCCAGTCCTGCCTGGACAACTTAGTGAGCCCCTGTCTTAAAATAAAATATATAAAAAAGGGCTGGGGACATAGCTCAGCGGTAGAGAGTCAGTGCTTTTGACTACCAGTACAACAAAAGAATGAAAATAAAACAAGGAGGGAAGTTACCCAAATAACCCACAACAGCATGCAGTGTTCTGGTGTGTGAGTTTTTTTTAACTTTAAAAAGATCAGTTATTTCTCCTAGTAGCTCTGACATTTTATTAGCATAGCTGTGCTCACCAAATGGGCAAGAGTAAGTTTCCTGAGAAGGCCTGCTGTCTTCCGACAGCTCTAATGGATTTGCAATTAGTCTATTAAACAGCCAATGGAAACCACTCATGAGCTACCCGTGCTCGGCTCCCGGATCCCAGGCGCAGTCCCAGGCACTGGGGGCAGCCCTGGTGCTGAGGCCAGCTAAGGGCAGCGCATGCCTTTGGCTGCTGCCTCACCCGGCAGGCAGGCAGGCCGTGCAGCGGAGGCCTCAGTACCCGGCACTGCAAGGCAACCACAGTGCCACTGGCTCCCACTCACACCTTCTTAAGTGCTCAACAAGGCTCCTTTCAGGAATTCCCCTGGAGATAACTGGTCAAGTGAATGGAGAGAGGCCACACAATCACTGATCACAGCAATCTCTGTAAAAACAAAAACCCAGAAAGCCACCCACCGGTCCAGGGACACATTTATCTGCTCAGGAGGAGACCACCGCACAACTGCCAAGGTCAAAGCAGTCCATTCACTGGCATGGAGGTAAAAACCTCAAAATATAGTATAATGTTACAAACAAAGCAGAACGAACATCCGAAAAACCAGGGTACACACAGCTTGCATAATATGATCCCATTAATTCATAAATTACACTGAGTTTTCTCCCTCTCTCACACACCCACATACACACATGTGCAGCAATATATAGCAAGACCTCTGGAAGCACATTCACCTATCTTACCAGGGGACCACTTCTCGGTGATGGGAAATTTTCATTTTCCTTATATTTTCTGCATTACTTGTATTTCTAATGCATATGTTTGTTAGCTTTATAATCACAAAACCCCAATATTTCCAAATTTTCATGGGGTTGGAAGGGTAGGTTGAATTCAAACAGTGGAGAACCACTCAGCAACAAAAAGTGGTAAACTACTTTGTCCTAAAACAGATGAGCCTGGAGAGCGAGGCTTAACTGGAAGAAGCCAAACACGCACAAAAGAGTATGATGATACTGCCTGAGACAGTGGAGGGTCTAAAACAGGAACAATAACCTAATGGTGATAGAAATAAAAAGAGCAGTTGCTTTGGAGCTAAGGAGATTCTAGGAAGAAGCACGAGGAACTTTCTGCGATGAAAATCTTAGACAGGAGGGTGAGGTATACAGAACATGAACTATACACTGACAGTTAAATACTGTATTTCACAATATGCAAACTACACCTCAATTCAACAAGAAGGGGGAGTCCAATCCTTAACACAACATCAACTGTCAACTGATGAAGCCACATGGCCAGGTGGAGGTGCTACCCACGAAACCAGGCAGGAGCATTCCCACCTCCTCAGCCCAGCTCCCTAGGTTTCAGGCACGGTCTTCTCCTCTCTTAGTTCTGCCATGTTTGGGTTCTTACGCACGTTATATCCACAGACCTGTTACACTGCACATTAAGTCTAAAAGTACAGGTTATAAAACTTAAAATAACTAAGCAAGCACACACCTTGACGTCTGATCTGCAAGTGTATTTACCGTGCACTTGTACGTTACCTGGAGTTATTTTCCTGAAGATTACTTTAAGTCTTGGGTTCAGAGATTAAACACAAGATTCTAGGACTATGAATGAAATTTTACACCACAAGATAAAGAGATTACATACTTAGGCTAACTTTAGTTAATAATTTCTGTGCAAAAAAAAAAAAGAAGTACAACATTTTGAAGAGAGGATGCTTTAGTAGAAGGGAATAGTGGCCAAATATTTCTAAATTTTACAGAAACTATCAACCCACAGATCAAGCAAATCACTGAACCCCAAGCACAAACATCTAAAAAACTGCACTAAAAGTGCATCATAAACAAATAGCTTTAAATCATGTTTAAAAAATAATCCCAGAGCCAGGGATGTATCTCAGAGGTAGAGCACCTGTCTAGCATGTACAAGGCCCTGGGTTCAATCCCCAGCACCGCCAAACACACAGAGGAACAAGATAAGAATGACAGATTTCTTTGGAAACAAAGAAAGCCAGAAGAAGGTAAAGCAACATCTTTAAAATACTCCCATTCATTCCAGGAGGCCAGTATTACCTCATCAAAGACATCATGGATTATTAAAAAAATCACAAACTAATATCCTTTATGCATACAGAAGCAAAAATTCTTAACAAAATACTAGCAAATCAAATCCAAAAAAGATAATACATCATGATCAAGTAGGTTTGTCCCAAGAATAGAAGGCTGGCTTAACATTCAACAATCTTTCAACATAATTCACCTTATCAACAGACTAATCAACACACAAAACCTTATATAACATCTCAGTAAAGCATTTGGCTGAATGCGACATCCGTTCTTGAGAAGGGGGCCAATTCAGGGGCTGCCTGACCTGCCACTCTGCCCCTCTCATTTCCTACCGGGTCATCTTCACGTCAAATGCCTGGACATGCATCTGGAAGGCTTGGTTTGTCTAGCTGGCTGTCCCTTGAAAACATAACGAGGATCTACAGGAAAAGACACCTACCAACAACTCGCTTAGTCTGAGCAGCATCTGCTTCTCTTGATCCCGGGCACTGTCATCACCTGGCTGGCTGCCACTGAAGGATGCGATCAGCCACTGCACACAGGACTCCAGGAGGCTCCTCCTCCAGGTGCTCAGCTGTCCTGCTGAGCCCTCCAGGGCTGCTGAGACAGAGTCTGCCACGATCCAACTGCAGCAGGAGACCAAGTTGCAGTCAGGAGGAGGCTTTCGTCCAACATTTCAAAGCCCTGTACGGGACAGCTGCCCTGAGTCCGCTCCCCATTCTGTCCACTCCGGGAGCGACGGACTCCTCCTTCTATCTCTTACTTAAACATCGAACAGGCACCAGAACACTCAGAGCCTGCAGTGTCAGCACACCAGGGAAAAGGTGTGCGGATCAGGGCCTCTCAACCCAGGCCTCAGCCACGACAATAAAAAAACTCAGACACCGCCAGCCCTCCCTGCACAAACCACCCACACTGAGAATGACTGCTCTAGACTAGCCAGGGAACCAGACTAGTCAGGACGGTGGAAGCGTTTTCATCCTAACTGCCCACACAGACAGCACAACAGGCTGGGAGCCTCTTCTACTACTGTGCTTTATAAATACAAAGGAGGAACGTGGAGCTTCGAGGGCAGCGGCCATCCAATGACCTTGGCCTTTTACCTCTTATGAGTGCTCGGGGCCTGAAGCGAGCCAGGCAAGCGGTCCATGAGCACACAGAGGTCTTTGGCTCTGGCGAATGGGACCAGCTGGGCCAGGACTTCCTGATGCAGCGCTGACTCCGAGGGACCATCAGTGCTCAGGAGCCTGTCTTGCAGCTGTTTCCACAGGGCCTTCCTCAGGACAGGGATGACAGCAGAGGACACTGGGGCAGACACAAAGCAGAGGTCACTGTGCAATGGCGGGCTGAGCCAGGAGCCACCTGATGTAGGCCGCGTACCCGTGACCCTGGGAGGCCACTCTGACAGCCTGAAACTGGCCAGGGCAGGAGCATCAACACCAGTGAAACTGGCAGCCGCTACACATTAGCTTCCTCCAAGGCGCGGCTGTTAAACAAGCACAGGCACCGGGCCAGAGGGTCGGCCAATGCTCAGCCCCCACCACAGGCGGCTATGACCATGAACCACCCACCTTCCTGTGCTCTCCCGGAGTTCCCTCTCCAGAGCCACAGGACAGTCGGGGGACCTGGAGAGCTGTCAACAACCGCTGGTTGGAGCCTCCTGCCTGAGGGCTGCCTCACTTTTTAAAGCATCTGTTACTACTATTACAAAGTGATGCAACCACAGGCAAAGGGTGAGAAAAAGATCGTCCACACAGCAATCCAGCACTCTGGAGGCTGAGGCAGGAAGATCGCACGTTCAACTTGCACCTTAACAAGTTCAACTTGCAACTTGTCTCAAAAGGAAGAATGACAAAAGAACTGGGGGTGCAGGTCAATGTAAAAGCCCTGGGTTCAATCTCTAGGACCCCAACCCCCAAAAGAATTAAATTTGCCATAATCAGAAAGTCAGTTCTAAAGCCCGGCAGGGAAGGAAGGGAAAGCTGGACCGCACTGCAGTGACGTGATACGCTATGTTCCCCGAAAGTGGGGAAATGTCATGGGACAAGGGCCAGCCGGACTCTGAACGGCTCCTGCAACTTAACAGGATGCAAACCCAGCTCCTGCCCAGCACTGCTCCTGCTTCACTCAGGAGAAACGGGGCCCGGGGGTTAAGAGACAGGCGTGTTGAGAATTTCTCAGCCTTTCTCAGCCTTCTGAGCAGGTCAGGTGCTGCAGAGGAACGGAACTAAACCAAGCCCAGGGTGAGAAGTGGCAGGGTTTCAGAGTGGACATGCAGTTCCCCTCCTCAGCCCCGGCCTCAAGCTCCCAGCGCTTCCCTGCCCCGTACCTCCTGCTGGGCAGGCGAAGCGTCCTTGTGGCCTGCGCTGGAGGTACTCGTGGACCAGGGGCAGGAAGTTGTCCAGGTTCCCCTGCAGGCTGCGCCCCGCACCAGCCTGGCTACACCACAGCTCAAACCGCAGCAGGTGGGTGCAGCTCTGCTGGAGGAGCAGGGTGGCGATGCCCAGAGTAGCCTGAGTCTGCCGGGCCAGGCAGTAGTCGAGCAGGTCAGCTGCGACCACAGGGGCCAGCACGGGGTCTCTCTGCAGGGTGTGGAGGAACACGGTGTCCAGTTCATCCACAGCCAGCATGGGGAGCAGAGCGCCCAGGCCTCGCACGTACTCAGAGGACCAGAGGAGCTCGGGGCTCTGCAGCTGGGCCTGGGGGCTGTTGGCCAGCAGCTGCACCAGGGTTTTCCCCAGGATGCTCAGCTGTCTCTCCTTCCCAGGGCCCTTCATGGATGTGGATGGCTGGGTCAGCAGCTGGGCCTCAGGAAGGGCCAGCAGGGCCAGGGTGACCTCCCGGAGCTGGGCACCTTCCATGTATGGGTGCAGCTCCCTCAGGGCCTCCAGCTGTGGCAGAGTCTTGGGTGGCGATGCGGCTCGGCCTGTGCTCCTGGCACGCAGCTCCATCAGCATGCTCTGCGTGATGGCCTCTGAGTACTTGGCCAGGAAGCCCAGCTGCCCCATGTTCTGGAGGATGGGGGCGCTGGCCACCAGCAGCTGAAGGATGCCTGCACTGAACTGGGCAGCCAGCAGCTTCACGAGGACGGGGCTGAGCGTGTGTGGGGGCAGGGCCTGCTGCTCCAGGGCCAGAAACCAGCCCTCCAGGGTTGGGTGTCTCAGGATGGCCACTAGGACCTCTTCCAGCGTCTGAAAGATGGATGGGGACAGACTTTACGAGGGGAATGGGGCCAGGGAGAGGCTGCAGCTACCAGGAAGCACTTGCTGTGGCCAGTGGGACTGAGCAGGAGACAGGTCTCCTAACCTAGCCCCACGCCAATGCTGCATGTCACACTGCCTGTTGCCTCTCCTGTGCAACTTCGGAAGCTGCACAGGGTCCATCCAGAGTCCCAAGCGTGTGTCTGATGAATCCAGCCAGGACAGAATTGCTGTGTGGCAAACTGCTCTCCTATGCGAAGTGGAGGGAAGGAAGGGAAGGGCCACACAGAAACAGCAGAATGCGACTGACTAGACTGGCCCTCTCTCTACCTGATGCTCCGGCAGCCTCGCCCTCCTTGTAAATCTGGTTGAAGAGCAACAGGGGCGGGGACACAGCTCAGACCATGTGTCTGGGGAAGGCGACAGGGATTAAACCACTGCCGATACCCAGTCCCGAATTAAAGGCAATCCTGTCTCCACTTTCAGAGAAACACTGGGCCTTAAGTGACCCCGAGAAACTAGTTTTGGCTCAACTACCTGAGCAGAAAGTGCTGAGCACCCTTGGCTGATCAGAGAGTGACCTGACTCAGCCATCCTCCAGGGCCTTGGTGGACAGTTCCTAGCCAGGAAGTCCCCCCAGTCCCCAGCGACAGGTGTGAGTCCCCTTACTTCACTTACTCTTAAGGAAAGGGCAGGAGCCCAGAGCCCTCCCAACAGAGTCCTGCCAGTTAGAAACAGACGCACACTGGCAGCACGGCTGTGCCTGTCAAGTGGCTAACAGCGGTCCAAGCAACACACTGGCTGCCAGGAAGTCAACGGGAGACCAGAGGAAGAAAGTCGGCTATTTCAGAAAGACTGGGATGAGGAACATGCTCGCTTTCCGAACCCAGAAGCAGTTACATGGCACACTGTGGCTGCACAAGACTAGCAGAGAAAGGCCTTTTCCCAGGCACACGTGCCGGTGACAGCCTCCACTGCCCATCCCGAGTCAGCACACGCTGAGCTCCTGGACAGGAAACATATGCTGGCTTCCCGAGGCTCCTGGCACATGGTGTGAGGGGGAGCAGCCTGCAGGGCCGGTGACTCTGAAGAACAACTGGAAAGATGAATGCCCAGGCTGAGCCCTGTGTAGCCTGGGAGGGGTGGGGGTTACAGGTGGCTTCTGAGTCACAGTGAAAAAATACATGGGGAAGGTATATTTTTAATCAGAGAAAGCCACTATTCATGATCTTACAGGAAAAGGCTAATAGGCTGTCTAGGGAAGAGGGCAGTGGTACCTGGTCACTGGCCAGCTCCAGCAAGGCAACAGACTCCATGTCTAAAAAGAGGTCAGATTCGCCACGGGCAGCCTCGCACTTCTGCTGATTCTGGGCATCCAGCCGCTCACAGTGGACAATCAGGTGCCTGAGGAGATCCAGGAAGAGATGCAGGAGTGGAGGCCCCTTATTTCTGCCCAGCTGTGAGAACAAGAGCAGCATGGTGTCATGGGCCTCACACCAGGAAGGGCTGACGGCTACCAGAGCAGTGCCTGCCAGGCCCTCAGGTAACCAAAGAGGAGACTGGAGGGGCCAGGCTGAGAGGGGGACTCCTTCACACGCTGTGTTTGTGAACACCAACATCCCAAGTCGCCTCTCAGGGGAGAGGCTTGTCTTCCCAACTTTGATGAAATGCATGGGCTTCTTTTGGCTGAAATGAGGGGAACAGGCCAACTTCAAAACCTGCCCTAAAGATCTGCGAACTACTTCAGGGAAGAGCTCAGCTGTGAGTACCAAATGAAGAAAGTACGGAAGGAGGAAGGGGGAAGGGGGAAGGACGAAGGGGGAAGGGGGAAGGAGGAAGGAGGAAGGAGGCCTGGCAGAGCTGCTGACCTATTCTGCTATAGGAGGGACCCTGCCCTGCCTGTGAATGGCCCGTGACAAACTGAGGCCTCGTGTGGGTCCCCCTCTGTCACTGCTGAGGGACACAATGGTCTGGAGAGAGCAGCAATGCTGCCTCTGCCCATTTGCTCCAGGGAAGAGAGGTGGCTGGCACGGGAACGGCACAAAGCTATGAGGCCAGGCTCCTGAGCCTCAGGCCGTCCTGTGGCTCTGGGCATCAGAAGTCCTGTCCCAGCTCAGAAAAGGCCACGCTGGTGGTGAACGGGGCTGAGGGGACAGTGCTGACCTGGCGGAAGTTCTCCACAGTGCTCCTGAGGTAGAGCAACACCTGCTTGGTAGAGCACAGGGCCTGGTGCAGGGTGAGGTGCTGGATGGCGGCCTGGAGCTGCACTTGAACGTGCTCATCCAAGAGCATGTGGCTCTCATAGGCCGTCTGTAGCAGGGCCGAGAAGCAGGAGGCCAAGGCGGGCACATGGGGTGCGGAGCTGCTGGACGTCTGCAGAGGCTGAGAGAGAGGGCAAGACAGGAGGGCGAAACAAATCACCACGATGGAAATGCTGCACGGGCTGTAACAGACCTGGAGTGACATGCACAGCAGTGGTCAAAATAATCAAGGGAAGACTAAAAAATGCGGGCTGTGTGGGATTTGAGTGATGTAAACTCAGCTCTGATACTGCCCGTCTCACCTATGTCCCTCGAGTGCTTCATGCTGACAGAAGTATGAACAGAGCCTGCCATGTGCCACAGAGACAGGGTTTAACAACAGGAGCCAGGGACAAATAACAGGAAAGGGAAACCACAGCTCGGAGCAGCCTGTGCCATGAGCAGCTGCCTCCCCAGGAGCCTTGTCAGAATGTCTTGTCGGGAGGATGGGAAAACAATGGACAGAATGAAGAGAAATTTCTGGAGCTTTCTGCCTCAAATAGGAGTTGGTTTCTTCTAACATAACTGCAAAATGTCTTCCTTAGTTACCTCATATGGTTTGTATTATTATAACCCCACTCATCTTCCTAGAACTAATAAACTCACGGTTGTCTGTGCCCTGACACCCAGTGGTTCTCAAAGCATGATCCTGGACTCTCAGGTCTTACTCCAGATCTGCTGGTTCAAAGTGGGGTTGAGCCCAGTGGCTGAATTTGAGCAAGACCCCAGGGAATGGCCACAAACCTCGGAGGGTGAGACCCACTGCTGTGACATCCTCAAAGCGGATAGCCACTGACACCTGAAAACCAGTGGGGCGGCACTCAACTCCTAGCAGCTCAACACCAGCCAGTGTCTGGCTGTTCCAGGCCTCAGTGCAGAGCAAGGTGACAACAGCTGTCACAGGCATGGGCTAAGTCCTGATTCTACTACTGAGTGGTGGGGGAAGCACTATGTGTCTCGGTTTCCTCATATGTATAAAGGGTGGGCAGAGTCTTGATCGACTTCTCGAAGTTATGAGGATTAAATGGCTCAAAATACATGAAGTACATTTAGTGTGGGGCCTGGCAGGTCTGATCAATGCCATCCACATGGCTCCTGCTCATAAAGGCCCTGGGCCAGTGGTGGCGAACCTATGGCATGCACGCTGTAGCCAGCTGTTTGTTATCACTGAAAGCTCTAAAAGGTTTGCCATCATAACTAGGCTGTCAGCTTTCTCAAGTAGGGCTGAAATTGAATGAATCCACAAAAATGCTCACCACGCTCACTTCCTGCCCTACAGAGTTTTGAGTACCTGCATTGCAGCCAGAAGCCCACTACAAGAATATAGTTCCCACCAAAGACAACTCTTTCTCCCTGTACCTGCTTAGCTTTAGCAGAAGGGAGCCTACTGGGGGCGAGGGGCCTGGTCTGGGAGCTGAGCACTAAGTCTAGGTATGTGCCAAGGCCCGCAGGTGAGAGCTGTGAGACAAGCACCATAAACACTCAGAATGGAAAAAGAGAAAAGACCCCCAGCTGAAACAGTGCCCAGCCAATTATTACAGACCCAGCAGAAAATCTAACTCTGCCATATCACCAAGTGCTCTGTGTTCCAGTCACGTCAGGTGAGCAAGCTCTGCAGCAGTGGGTGCAGCTGCAGCTGAGGCTCACCCGGGCCTCTCGGGCTTGCTCCGGGATCCAGAGGCTGTAGTAGCTGTTAAACCGGGACAGCTGCTGGCAGCAAGGTGGGCCGGGAGGCTCAAACTTGTCATAAGCCTGGAGCAGAAGACATAGAGCCAAGGGGTCCCTCTGGGTGTGGAGGAGGTCAGTCAGCACCGCCGTCAGATAGGCCACGATGCTTTCCCCTGCTGAGGACAGGATGTGTGGGGGAAGAAGCCCGCTGGAAACCCCTTCTGTGATCCACCAACGCTACCTCCTGTAACATGCATGTGAGACCCAGAGACATTCATGACAACTCCACAAAGGGCTGCATGCACACATGGGAAGGTGGGTCCTACCACACACTAGCCTAGGCTCTGCTTTACTGTATTTCATTTCAGTTTATTATGGTACTGGGGATCCAACCTGAGGGTACTCTACCACTGAACTGAACCCTCAGCCCTTTTTTGAGACAGGTTCTCACCAAAGGTTGCCCAGGCTGGCCTCAAATTTGCAATCCTCCTGTCTCAGCCTCCCAAGTAACAGGGATTATATTAGGCTCCATCTTACGAAGCAGAGAGCACATGGTCAGGTATCAGTAAGACCTAGGCATGTTAAGAGGTGAGACCAAAGTCACTTGGACCTGGGTCTTGCTAAGTGTTTGCAAACTCTTCCCTTCTGCCCCGGTACACGAGCCTCTCTGGCAGGGAGGATAGGCCACCTGCATGGGTTATCCCATGACACGTCCTGCCTGACTGTCCACTCTCTTCCCCTGCCACAGCAGAGCCTGGAAGCCACCTGCTGAGATGGCCAGGGATACAACAGCAGCAGCCTGGAGCCCTGAGCCACCTTCTGGATGACAGCCACCCAGAAGGGCAACCTGGCAAGGACAGGGAGCAGACCTGCACTCATTAAACCAGGTCAAGTGGGAGCAGAAAACCTTTGCTCTCCCGACTGACCACACCAACGTGGTCTGTGCGTGCTCCTGGGGAGTAAGCTGCCTGGAAAACCCCGAAAACGTGAGAGGTTCACCCTTAGCATCAACACGTCAAGAACAAACAGTGAAGAGGCCCCGCTGGCCAGCACAGCCAGAGCAGCCTGACCGTGCACAGGTACCTGCTCCATTTCCTGTCCCAAGGAGCAGCCTGTTCCTGGCTTCCAGGGCTGCAGGGACCACCGCGCTGAATGGGAACGTGAGCAGGATCATGTCTTCGTTCAGCAAGAACCCAATCTCCTCGTCCAGGCCTTCGCTCCCCTCCACCAGGACGTCCACCATGTCGAGCACATCTGAGACAGAGGGGGGTCCAGTCCCGCTAAGGCAAACACCACCAAAGGACCCTGCTGCCAACACCCCCAGAGAAGGAGGAACGAGTATTTGCACAGAAGAGAATAAAACAAATCTAAACTTCTGGGGAGGTAAAATGCTTGATATGATTTGATACTAAATAGGTGAAGATATTGCCTATAAATTCTTTACAATCTTTGACAAAATGCAGAGTATCAGTGGTGGCAAAACCTTGGAACTTTTACCTGGATATGCAGGCAAACAAGCTTAGATCTGACAGGGTGAAAGCACAGACTAGAGCCAGTGTCTACAGCTGCACAGTAGCTGGGTGAGTCCGGGCAAGTCATTTAACCTCTCCGTGCCTTGGCTGCCCTATCTCTATATAAAAGGAGGACAATAATACCTTCTTCCCTTAGAGCTATTTCTGAGATTTACAGGCAGTAACATTTGTAAAAAACTTACAAAGCACCTGGCACAGAGGAAACGCTACCAAGTTAAAACAACCCGGTGAGTATATTCTATGCACATTTCTCATAACATAAACAAACATTCCAGAACAGGCTGACCTTCGACACAAAGAAATATGGTGCCTGCATTTTGCCTGAGGCATCGGTGCCATTCCTGTTCTGTCTCTAACTTGCCAAGTGGCTCGATCTTCAGAACCCAAGCAGAGCAGAAAGGAGTGGAGCCTACCGTCGATGTGGGAGATGGGAATGCTGGCATCATCCGTGTCTTGCCTGGTCACAGTGGCCTGCAGCGTGCTGGCTTCTTGGACAAAGTCAGATGCTTTGTCTGTGTATGTGTAGGGATTCGCCACCAGCGTCAATAAAACCTGGGCAATCAAGAGCCAAGTGGAAAACATTTACATGGTTACAAGTGAAATAAAATGGGAGGGGCAAAAAGGTCACTGGTCACCATCAAGGGAAGTACCAAATTGTTAGCTGTCCTTAATAAAAACAGTAATTTTGTTGCGAAGATTTTTTTCTTTTTTAACTTTTTGTTGCACAATTTAAAAAAGTATTTCCTCTTAGTAGACTGCTTTTAACACAGCTTTTGGTGTATTCCCACTCCATCATGCAAAAACAAGTTGCCAAAAGAAAATTAAAAAGCATGCAGCAACACATTCCTGTGGTCCCAATTCTAATGCTAAGTGGATTCTGGAATCGCAGCAGGATTAGGAAGCCAGGGCAAAAAAGCCCTTCTGGCACTGCTGCATCAAAAACGCCTCAATGACGCCCAGGGCACCTGCATGTAATCACCCCAGGTTGTGCTCCTGTATGTGGGAAACCTGTGCTTACACGTTCCAGGAACCGAATCACCGTCTCTCTGCTGTCCTCCGAGGTGTTATCCAGGTGCTCCAGCCAGAGTTCCAGCTCCTTCCAGGTGTATTCAAACACCCCTGTGTCCCGAAGAATCTGTCAGTGAGCAGATCCAGGGCACAGGTCACAACAGAACCCGTGAAAGGAACCTTCCCTTCTGTGGAAGCTGCAGTGGCTTCACGCTGCACCAGGGCATGGAGACCCGGGAGCAGGAAGGGCAAACGTGCCACCCAAAGCTTTAACCACAACACAACGCCTTGTCTAGCTGCCGCTTATTCCTGTTCCTTATTTCCTAAATTTAAAGTCAAGAAAAAGATTCAGCCGCTACTCAGGGGGCTGGCTTTCTACATGGATTTTCACAAACAACCCAGCTATATCTGCATGGCTTGCTCCCTCACGGCCACTCAACCTTCAGGCTGTGGGAAATTCTCCAAGGTCAGAGCCAGTCACACCGTGTCATTTCAATGTGGCACCTGGAGACTCGGCTGGGCAAGCAGCACACCATTTCCACCAGAACAGAACGCAGCTAAGGCAGGATCTGCTCCGTGGGGCTGAATATCTGAGTGACACCCCCTACCAGCCTGATGACAGAGACTTGTGGTGTCAGCAGCCTCGTGGCACAGAGCCCTGCAAGTGTGCCAAAGAAGCACCTGGCTGTGTCAGTTCCACCTATCTGCGGTTGGCTATCACCGAGCGTGGCTGGCACTGGACCCCGCCTGCACTGCCTGTAAGCACAGGCAAGCTGGTGGCAAAGGCTCACACATCCATGCTCCTTAGGAGACTCAGGTGAGAAGGCAAGAGCACCAGCCCTTCCCAGAGGCGGAAGGTCATATCTTGGCACCCTACAAACAGTGAATGGGATTTCGGTAGCACCCCCACCCCCCAAAATGTTTACTGTACAGCAGGAATGAGGAATGGATTCCCGACAGCATGGCCTGATGCAGCTCTGGAAAAGTGAGTAATGTGTCAAGGAAGAAGTGAACAAAGTCCTCATTCTCCCCACTGATTCTGGCCATGCCTGTGCTGTGGGGATAGATAAGGTAAAAAAGGCTGGAAGCCCCAGAGTCTGGGAACGAGGAAAGAGGCAAAGCTATCTGACAGATCTAAGGGGACGGGATGCGGCCCTCGGTGTGCTGGACACGAGCTGCTTCTGTTACATCTGATCTCTGCCTCCCTGATGTTATCATCTCCATTCACCATGGGAAAACTAAGTTCTGAGAGATCAGTCATCTGCCCGGCCACTCAGGAAAGAGGAGAACAAGGATTCAAATCCAAGAATCAGAGATGAAAGCTGATGTTTTTAACTACTCCATGGTGCAATCTCTCAGGAATCAAACTAAATTTCAGATACACTAAAAATTACCATAAAACCTTCTAACTAAAATTTACAATAGTCCTGATATATCCTGAATTCAACAACCATTTACTGAGCACCTACTAGAAGGAAAACCCACGTAAATGCTTTGCAGAATCCGACACTGGTAGAAAACACTCACCTTTATGATGAGAAGTTTGGTGGATGACTTCAGGTATAAATGGCTGCTGGTCACAAACATTTTCATCAGTAAATAGAACACGGATCGCTCACCTCTAACAATGTCTGCATCTGGGCCTTCCTAGAGTTTGAACATTATGACATATTGTTGATAGGTAATTATTTATGAATATATACAAAACCTCAGCACATAATTATGTACTATAAAAAATAACAAGAGCCAAGCTGGGGATTTAGCTCAGTGGTGCCACTGCCTGCCTCGCAAGCGCAAGGACCCAAGTTCGATCCCCGGTACCAAAAAAATACATACATACATACATACATAAATAACAAGGGCCACAACTTGCTAAGCAGACAGGTAACTACATGCCTGACACACTGCCAGGGCCTCAGCGCATCTCGTTTTAATGACACTCACCAAGATGACTGCGCTCTCACACATAGGAACTGCAGAAGCAAGGCCAAAGCCCAAACATCACTGTGGTTATAGGACAGCGAGTCCCAGCAGTAAGCACAGGCAGCCCTCTGCGTGTGCCAGCACAGTCGTAGGGTCCGGATAAACACCTACGCTAGCTTGTATTTTGAAAACGGAGGCAAGAGCAGGTAACTGCTGCTTCCTGCAAACCAAGCCCAGGGAGCTCTGGTGCAGACGCCGCATGTCTGGCAGGTAGACAGGAAGGACCCAGGCTGCGTGATCCCACCCAAGGCCGCACTGGCTGCATCGTAACAGGATGTTGGGGCGAATGTCACTGACTACTTGTACATACTTTGCCTTGGAAAAGAGCACAGAGCTCCAGATCCCAGGCCCACACTCTGCCAGGTCTGTGTGATTCACTGCAGTCCTTGGTGACGAGGATGAGGCAAATATGGCAAAGCGCTGGGGCCACTTAGCCAGCAGACCACACCAGCAGACACATCTGGCAAGCATTACATGGGCACTGGCTAGGAGTTAATGTCTTAATACCAGTTGTTATACATTAAGAGGCCTCGGTTCAGCTCCCAACTTAATCATTAGGAGCCACCGGCTCAATTCAGCAAGAGTGGAAAACCAGTCAATGATGCCCCCACTTGCCTCTCTGTGGTGGTATCCTGGACCCCCATGCATGGCTTGGGCCTTGCAGAAGTGTCCTACGCATTCTGTACCCAGTGCCCTGTCTTTACAGGGTGGGAATGGAGTGGCCACACAAGCCCTCATGTCTGGCCTGGCAGGCAGAGCTACCCTCAGGAAGAGCTACCCTCAACTCTGATGCAACCTTAGAAAGAGGATTCGGGGGAACATACACAGACCCCATGGCACGCTTAGACCTTTCTAGAAGTATTACATGTGAAAATGGCAACATGCCCGTCCATGTTCTTGGCTCCATATAAAAATCGAATATAAGATCTAATCCATTAAAAAATATACTCAGCAATCAAGACACACACCCAGCCAAGGCACAGCCTGGCTGATCATTTCCCCTCATGGCACGAGACTGCCACAGCATTGGGCTGTAATGACACAGGCAAAGATCTGCTGCATCCTGAGCTTCCTTCTGGGTCAACATTCTCTCTAGAGTCCTAGAGGATGCTGCTGAAGACACACACACTGCTAGCAATGTCTGCTGACCTTCTACCAAACACACCAAGCCTCTGCTGGCTTGGTGTTTATTTCCACCTGTCATAAGCTCTTCCAGGATGGGGACAAAGGAGAATGAATATATTTTATTTCCACAAACATCTTAAAATGACAAGAAAAGTAAGAGTCAAGATAAAAAGCCAACGGGCCCAGCAGGTTAGCTAGCGGCAGAACACTGGAGCTCTCTGCTTCCTACCTGTGCCTTCAACCACAAGAACTTGTTGGCGGGCAGCTCCAGCGCCACCTTCAGCATGTGGTGCTGCAGGATGGGAGGGGCCTCCTGGCCAAGGCCCTGCTCGGAGATGATGCCTGCGGACACGAGGGAGGCAAACAGACTGTCACCTGGGTGTGTGTGCCCAGCACCTGCTGCCTGGCCAAAGGACCAGAGACGGAAACCCGCACCTACGAAGAGAAGAGGGTGCAGGTCTGTCCTGTGTCCCAGCTCCTCACCCAGGCTGTGCAGACCCTTCGCTGCCCAAAGCAGCCTCCCCAACACTTGCCCATGCTGACCTCATCCCACCACAGGCACCACCACCCCACGCGTACCCAGTGTGGCCCCTCAGAAGTGTGCTCTCTTGCGTGGGGCCTGGGCCTTGCTGCCCACATGCAGGTGTTCTGTGGACAAGAGATTCTGGTCACTGAAACTAAAACTGGGTCCTTATCTTCTAAGCCGGTGTCTGGGTTTCTTTTTTGTAGAAAATAAATCCTAAATGGCCACACTCTAGTAAACTGCATATCCCCATGGCAAAGACAACCTTGCACCTTCAAATGATTAAAAAACCTAATTACAGCTCTTGAAAATGATTATTTGTCACTTATGTAAATCCCAAGAATGGTATTTTTGTAAGTCTTCTTCCGTGGGCCCAATTATAGTCGATTTTATGAGACAAACCTGACACCAAGGATCCAAGACCAGGCAAGCATGATGTTACTTTTATGAGATGTGGTTGGAGTCTGACTCACTGGGGTAAAATACGAGCCTAGGTCCAAAGTTCCTCTGCATGAACGGGGTGGGACGTCCCTTCCACGGGACCCTTTCCTGCCTCAATCTCTGCACCCGTCCCCTTAGAGGACAGCTTCAGAGTAACGGGATCCAGTTTGTGGACTGTCCACGCAGGTCACTCAGGCTGGCTGGTCCTCTTCCCCACTCTCATGGCTGATACTCAGTGCTCACCTAACCTCACTTACAGAAACCCAGTTACTAAAAAAACACGGATCCTAATAAAATTAATCAGGCTGCAGGATCACAAACACCCTAGCCAAGTAAGGCCCAGCCTTGCTGATCCCCAGTGCCCGAGCTCTCGTCTGGTTTATTGGTGCCTCCGGCAGCAGCTTGTCTGGCCCCTCGAGACCCACCTTTCAGGAGTTTGCTGAAGTCAAAGTTGTACTGCATGACCACGTGGGGGACCACCTTTTGGTAGAGGCATATGACCTGCAGCAGGACAGCTTTCAGAAGAACGGTTTCTGCATCGTCTGTAACAAAGAAAATAGCTTGAATTAGGAAAAGATTTGGTTTTTGATCTTGGTCAGGGAAGCAGCTGAGACACACACGATGCCATGCTGCAGTCAACTGCATGGTGAATAGGGAAGTTGCAGCCAGTGACCAGAGGTGAAGTGCCAATGTGGTGCTGTCCAGGGCCTGGGCTTCAGCCTCACTTGGCTGCGATGGTTGTGGACAGACTAAGGCTACTCTGTTCTGTGCTTCCAAGTCCTCAGCTGAGCAAGGGCACTTCTTCACAGGGCTGCCGTAAGGCTTAAAGAGGATCTAGACTCAGGCTACAAAGCCCACTGCCTTACGACAAGGTCTGAGTCAACACTTTTTCCTTTTTTTCTTTCTTTTTTTTTTTTTTGGTACCAGGGATCAAACTCGGGACCTTGTGCTTGCGAGGCAGATGCTGGAACCACTGAGCTAAATCCCCGGCCCAACACTTTTTAATATGAAGGGGACCATGTAGCCCGGCTCTACCACAGAGCAAGAAAGAGCCTTCCACCCTGCCACCTACTCAAGGGCCAGTCAGACAGCACCCAGTATTCAAGTCTTCAGAGACACCACACTTGCATAAAGCCTGGACACATTTCTAGTGGACACTGAAACTCAATCTATAATTCTGCTTCTTCCCCCTAAGCAAAGAAGGATGTGGCACACAGCCGAGGGGCCTTGGAACACGAATGACTGCAGGATCCTCTAGCTAGGAGCCGCCGCACGCTGTCTGTCAGCTCCATCCCCGGAAACAGCTGAGGCCCCAGAGCCCTCACCACACTGGTGAGCTGTGCAGGTGGCCGGAATCGGGTCTCCGCTCTTCTTCCCTTTCTTGTCATCTTGTTTTGCCTCTTGCTTTGTAAGTGACTGCCAGACCCACACGACAGTGTTCAGATCTGGCAAAACCTAAATGGGGAAAAAGCAGCAGAAAAACCAGTTGTGTTAAACAATAGAGAAATGAATGAATTGAACATAGTAAGAGGAAGCAAAACCCAGAGGGGAGAGGAGCCAAGATGTGCGAGTGTGGCCAAGTGTGAATGTGAGTGTGAATTATGTGAGCACTGAGTGTGCAGGAAAGGAGACAAGAGGGTGGGGTGAGAACAGGCCCACATCCCTTGTAAGCTCTGTGCTGCGGTACAATCTCCAGAACAGTGGACGCTAAGGATTTGGTGAGAAACAAGTCTGGTAATAAAACAACCCCCAAAGACTCCTTCACCTGAGCTGAAGGAACACTTCCTTAGGGCCAGCCTGAGGGACCTGGTCCCCCATGACCTGGGCAGAATCAGCCCCCAAAGGGAGCAGGAGGGGCTTCCGAGTCACCCAGGCCCTTTATCGCACGTTCCAGAGGGCGAGGGGAGGGCATGACACTGGCCCTCAATGAGACAGAGGTCCCCCCAGAAACAGAACCCCGCTATTGTCCCCAGGGGACAGCAGGTGCATCGTCTGAATTCTTACCTTGCTCAAGGACTTTGGGACCCTGAGCGTGACATACAGGTTGCAGTTTTATCGCTGATCCTCAGCACTGTGCAGTACATTTGGGTCCCACCACTACCCTCCCAGGACAGCCCTCTCCTCAGTGGGGAGGTGGACAGGGAGAGCCCAAAGCCAGACTGTGCCCACCTTGCTCAGCGCTTCTCTGAAGAGCTGCATGAATTCTTCCATCATCAGTGCTGTGTACACACCCGATTCTTGCCACACCTCTTTATTCTGGCAGTGGTCAACAGTTTTTAACGCTCTCTTCAAAATGAAGGAAATGAGGGACAGAGCCGTGTGTCTCACCGATGTGCTGTCCAACTGGGAAGAGAAGCAGTTACATCCACAAGTGTGTCCAGATGGACAGAGTGGACAGAGCTCTCCAGCTCTGGGCTGCACTGGCTCTTGTGCCCCTCCACTCACACTGGACTCCACACTGTGACAAGAGGTGACCCAGGGGACCTTGCCACCCTGACGCCCTCCGTGTCTGACCTCAGCACTTGCCAGAAAAGCAGTCACTAAAGATGGAGGCTGACAGCGGTTTCCTTTTCAGTAAGTCTCCTCTGACAACCAACCAGTCCGCTAACGTGGACCACTTGGATTAACAGCAGCAAGGCCTCACCAGAACCCACCCCCAAACACATGCATGCCACCATTAAGATCATGCAGTGTCAGGTGGAGAGAGGGCAAGAAAACACATCAGGTTCTTTGGTATGAGAAGCTCCCTCCAAGTCAGTAACAACCGCTGTAGTTTGGATGTGGTCTATCTCCCTAGGGTTCACGTGACAAAAGCACAGTCCCCCATGTGGCAGTGCTACAAGGGGGTGCAACCCCTAAGAGGTGCGGCCTAGTGGAAGGTGCTTGGATCACGGACGGACATGCCACCTTCAAGAGGGATTAATGTAGTTCTCATGGGACCCTGTTAGTTCTTAAGAGAGGGGGTGGCTATAAAAGGAAGACGCCTGGCCCTTCCCTGGCCTCTGGCTTCCTATGTCACTACGTGGGCTCCCTCGTGCACATGGCTATGTTCTTTTCTGCCCATCTGCCATGTTGTTGCACAGCCAGGGCAGCCCTCACCAGAGGATGAACAGATGAGGCTACCCAACCTTGGACTTTCATTTTCTAAAACTGTTAGCCAAATAAAACTCTTTTCTTCATACACAACCAGCTTCAGGCCTTTTGTCACAATAACAGAAAATGAACTAGCGTAAGAGGCAACTCACATCACAGGCCTGGCACATACACACTTCCCCACTTCTGTTCAGGTGACTGTTAGGATGGTCTTCAAAGAACTCTCTGACTACAGACTGAGCAAGTTCAAGACCCTGTGCTAGCAACAAAGAGATAAGCACTCAGGGCACGGCCAAGGGCAGTTTGTTCCTGGACTACCAGTAGTGCCAGAAGTGCCTACTGCAGGGAAGAAATGCAGAGTCCTAGGCCCTGGCCCAACTCTAGCGGAACGTGCATCTTCACATGATCTCCAGGCAAGCCCACAAGCGTTAAACCCTGGGGCGCCCTGGCTGAGGTACTGGGATTTACAGTGAGGGAGAAACACACAGGCCTCTGACTGGCTTTTAGTTTCATAACCATGACAGCCCAGTGCCCAGCATTCCAACCAGCTGCAGTTTTATTTTACGTGGGTGCTGTGCACCTAAGTAGAACACGAAATGCTGTAAGTCCACGATGGCTCCAACACATAATCCCTTCAAGGCAGGCCCCCAACAAGAGTTGGGGCAACACCCAGCAGGCTGGGAGCACAGGAACTCCATGACTTGCTGCTAAACCCTTCTAACAGCTCATTTCTAAAATAACTAGCTCTTTTTCTAATTTAAAACACGTGCTGTTGGTTAGAAGTTCTTCAGACAACACCGTAAGGAACAAAAGGAAAAAACCTCCAACTGCAGCCTCGAGAACTTCTCACACTACTGGGTCCCATGCATATGAAACAGTCTCAGCTCTCCAGGCTATGGCTCGATGGCCCTGGGCCTGCACAGGACAGCAGCCACCAGAAGGGGAGGGAGCCAGGCCTGGTCTCATCCCCTGAGCCACTCTGTCGAGAGGATGGAAAATCCTCCAGGGGTATGCGGAGAGACAACACTGAGAGAGGTCAGCCTTTCATGTCCAGACTGCCAGGAGTAAGTGCAGGGAGTGCTATGCAGCCTTCAAAGGAAATGCACCTGACAAGCTCCCTTCCATTCCATTTTCTGCAGACCTCTTGGGAAATAGGAATGTCTCCCGCAAAACAGATGGGTAAGTTAGCTGAGTCCTAATTTTCCCTGTGATGATTTGGCAAACCGAACAAAAGACCTTTCTGCAGAGTCCCACACAGGCCTCCTGCTTTCTCCTCCTCACTCATCGCCCAGGCTCAGCACAAACCCTGGACATGTATCAAAGAATTCCACTGCAGTCTCGAGAGCCAACACTACTTTAGTGACTGCGCCCATCACCAGGGGCCGACTCATGCCCATGCAACACAGCACGCTGTCCCTGCTCTTGAATGCCTCATCTCCCCAGGGAAGTGTTAGGCCACTGGGCTTAGAGGGGCCAATAGCCCACAGCCATTCACCAAAGCCCACAACAGCATGGTGACACAAGGCTTGGCTTCTGATAGAGCTCGGGGACCTTGTTAATCACTAATGATATGAAATTTAAGTCTCAATTTTTCCATAAACATATTCTCCAGAAATGCCTGAAGACAGATAGTTCTCAAAGTAAATATTCCCCAGAAATCTTAACACTACTCACTTGAACAAATATTTGCTGGGGATGTACCTAACGGTAGACCATTTGCCTAGCATGTGCCATGCCCCATATTCAATCCCCAGAACAACTAAAAAAGAAAAAGAATGATTTGTTGATAAATTTCAATCTACCCTGTCCAGAAATTCTGAACTAATGAGACTTCAGTACAAGAATTCCCTTCCTCTGACTCCAACATTCTTCTATCCCACCCAAGCAGAAGTAGGGAGGTACGGAAGGATGGAGACATCCTTGCCCCATGCTGGAGTGGGACAAGATGTGAGCCCACTCATCCCTGGAGGGAACGGGCTCCTGTTCACAGTCCTTGCTCCAAGTGAGGGCACCTGTCACTTGCATGGAAGCCTCAGAGGCTCCCTGACAAAACAATCCAACACAGCCAGGCTGGGATTTTCAGCCAGAGGGTTCAGCAGGAAAAGTTCCGGAAGCGGGTCGACTATGACCTTACATTTAATGCTTGGGTGAACATGATCTTATTGCACACCGGGGGCACCATGGTCACCATCACCATCGCCAGGAGCCGCGGCAAGGGGATAAACTCTCTGGTCTGAAATGCCCGGGAAATCTCTGGCTGGGCCTCATAGATCTAGGAAAAGGAGAAAAGAAATTTAGTTGGTGCCGGAAATAGGCATGCAATAGTGAAGCCATTCCAATCAAACAATTCTGCAGTGATAAAGGCCAGATTCACTGCAGGAACAAGAGCAGACCTGTTAAAGATAAGTCAGGTCACCAGACTGCCACCATCAGAGTAGTGACCTCCAAACCACAGCTTGGCCTGTGGTCTGGGGAGCCCCTTATGACCCCCAATGGCAGACAAATCACTGCTAGAACTGTGCTGGAAGTGATAAGGGTATCACTAACCAATGACCACTGTACTTGACAAACCCTACCATCTTTTTAAACTATGACAACCCTTTGAAGTGGGGACACCTGATGTTTAAAAAGAGTCTGTGGATGGCAAAATAGGACCTCAGGGAGGTTAAGTGACTTCCTTTGGGCTGGGCATTGAGTGGCCAAGGAAGGGCCAAAGCTGAGTTGCAAACACCACACCCTTGCCCCTCGCCAGGCTGGGGAGGACAGCACCAGAAACTGCTCCCTGGAGGGTGCTGGTCACAGGGCTGTGCTCCCCAAGCAAGGGGGAGGGCATCTTTCTTCTTTCTCACATGGAGATACAGCTGGGGCTCGCACTCACCAACACTCAAGGGGAATTCCAAGAATCCGTGACTAAAAGCTAGTTTCACAGATAACTCCAGGTCCAGACTGAGGCACAAGGAAACAATCCCAGGCATTTCACATGTACATGAGGCAGGCAGAGAAAAGCTCAATTGAGCCAAGAATTTATAATAACTATAGGCTGAGCATCCCTAATCAAAAAATCCGCAATCTAAAGCTTTTTGAGTACCAAAAAGACATGATGTCTCAAAAAAGTTTCATAAAATGAAGCATTTTGGATTTCAGATTGTGCATTTCTGGATTAGAAATGCTCACTCATTAAAATCTATGCAAATATTCCAAAACGCAAAAGCCTATGAAATCTGAAACACCTCTTTCTGGCCCCAAGCATTTGGAGTAAGGATTTCAACCTGTACCTCCACTGGCAGATGAGGGAGATGTTGACATCTACGGCTGAAAAGAAATTAACACACATCTACTCAAGCAAAAGACCCAACATACCACAGCTTACAGCAAGTTGTTCTAAGGACTTGATACCAATCTTTTTTTTTGGTACTGGGGATTGAACTCAGGTCCTTGTGCTTGCAAGGCAGGCAGTGGAACCACTGAGCTAAATCCCCAGCTCTAGTCTATGCATATAGTTGGGGTTTTTTCGTTTGTTTGCTTGTTTTGGTACCAGGGATCGAACTTGGGTCCTTGTGCTTGCACAGCAGGTGGCGAAACCACTGAGCTAAATCCCCGGCCCTTTGATATCAATCTTTAAAAGCCATCCTACAATTCAAACATTTCAATCAGCCCAACATATTCAAAAGGAATAAACCTCAAAATCCAGCACAGTGAATATACTTAGAGGACAAGGTCACCCAAGCGCCGTCATCTAAAATACCCCCTTTATCCCCGGAGGAAGGTCTTCACATTGTACAGCTCAGCAGAGCAGAATGCCCGGGTCTTCCTCAACTCCCCACACTCCAGCCCTACCCCAGCAAATGGATTTTGAAATGTTATGTTTTGTACCTTAGTCAGCAGTTTGATATTATTTAACCAAGTAGACTTCACTCTTGGGAGAAAGGAAAGCGTCACTTCCTTGAAGTACTTGCTCAGCAGGTCTGGGCACACTTTCAGGATGTTCACCACCAGCTCAGCCACCAGCTCATCGTTGGCCGCAGTTTTCAAACCCAGCAAGAAGTGCAAGAGCGTCAGATTGCCTCCTCTGTTAGGGACAGAGACGAGAGAGAGGGGTCAGCAGGGAAAATTCAAGCTGGTGGAGGCTCAGAGTTTCTCTCAGGGACAAAGTGGTAAAATGGCTGTGGGTAGATTTCCTCCAGGACACAAAGTGGGTGCTTCCATGGCTGTGGGATCCTGAGCTCTACCAGAGGGCTTTGATTTCCATCCCCTACTTCCCAGTGGCTGAAAAGGTCTCCACTCTGTCCCATGTACCTCTCCGGTTTCCTTCTTCCCTCCCAAATTCAACCTGCCTTCTAAAGCAGAAAAAAGCCATCCTCTCTAACCTCCACAGCTGCCCACTGTCTGCCTAGAGGTCCAGGTCACTGCAAAGACAGGGAAAAATTACCGGGAGGAATCTCTCCTCCATTTCTTTCTTTTTTATTCAATTCAATGTACACTTATTGAATACTATGTTCTTAAAATAATGGTATCCTATGTCTCTGGTTTTTAAAATTTATTTTTAACTGGTAGATAAAACTACAAAAATTGTATCTATTAATGGGGTACCATTTAATGTTTCAATACATATTTACCCTGCATAATGTTTAAATGAAGTTAAACAAACTTATCTCCTCAAACATTTATCATTTCTTCATGGTAGAAGCTTTCAAAATCCTTAGTTTGGGATTTCACTGACTTCTCTCCTCTAACCACATACAGAAAAAGCATTATGTAAGCATGCAATGTGCATACAACTTTAAAAAATATAGAACACTTCCTCTGAAAGAATGAAGTTTTTTACATGAAGTGAGTGCTCATGAATTGCCATGTGGTCCTGGTGCCATCAAATTAGTTCTAACACTCCACGAGACTTGGCACAAGGTTTTGCACACATCTTCTGCCTTCTGTTTCTAGCTTATTTCAGGTTCCCACACCTTGGCATAGCAACTGCAGAAGAGAATACAGGGAAGACCCACTGTGGGAAAATACCCAGAATTTGTCCCAAAGGAGGCAAATCATCTTCCTGAGTATGAGACGATAAAAGAAAGAGGCAGGAAAATCTGATCATGCTAAAGATAGGATAAAGGGAACAACCCAGGATCTACAGACCCAGAACCACAGGATCTAGGTTTTATCTGCCCTAAAGCCTTTAAGAAAAGATGCCTTTTCAGATAGGCCTGGTGCTGGAACATCTAGCAGAACCTGAGAATCTGCCTCTGTGGCAGTCTTGGTAATGGTTTCTAGGTATCCTGTGTCCAGCTCGGTATCCTGTGTCCCCGACAAACTGAGTGAAACTATGATAGCTGTACATACGAGAATTTTTTAAAGGCTGAATTAGAAAGCATACAATTTTAATCAAAACACTATCCTTTTAAAAAAGATATAAAATTCTTAATATGAAAATTCCATAAACAAAAAATACATAGTTTGTAGTATCAAATGACAGAACATTAAATCTACTATCAGTGTCCAAAATACTACACATACTTTTTTTTTCCTTTGGTACTGGAGACTGAACCCAGGGCCTTCTCACCGAACTGGATCCCTAGACCTTTCCTATTTTTTTATTTTGAGACAAGGTCTCGCTAAGTTGCTAAATTGTCCAGGCTGGGCTGGAACTTTCGATCCTCCCCCTTCAGGTTCCCAGAGCACTGGGCTCACAGGTAGGCACCATTAGGCCCACCTTATACACACACATAATGTTAATCAATGATGCAATAAAATGGATCGCACTAATATTGGTGCACTGTGTAATACAGGCCAGAGGCTGCCCCTGGCCGTTATCTTGTTCTACTTGAGACAGGCACCAATTTTACAGGTGAGTTTAACTGAGGCAGAGAGGATGTATAACCTGCTTAGGTCTCAGAGCTAAGTTATGAGTGGAGTCCAGCTGTGTGATTTTGAGAACCTGTTCTCCTATCCTGCACACCAGGGGATGCTGGACTGTGGCTTGCCACTTAGCACTGTAAGTGAGTTCTCTTGGAACACAGTCACACCCATTTGTCTGTGCCTGTGGCCACTTCCATGCTACGAAGGCATAGCTGGGAGGTCACAAGACATGGATGACCAACCTGCCTAAAACAGTATCTGGTCCTTTATAGGGAAAATGTGCCTCGCTCTGTCCTCTAACACCTTATTTCAAGAAATACCTCCTCAGTGCCAGGCACTACCCTAGGCCCTGAGGAAGACAAAAAGGATCAGACTCTCTTCTTACCACTTCACACCAAATCAGATCATGCAAAGAAATAATTATGCAAGGTGGTGAGAGGTCACAGTCAGAAGCCTGGACCAGAAAAAAGGACACTGAGTGCATGGGGCACCTTAGAAGGGCTGCCTCAAGTGCTAACATCTGTTCAGGGACTTGAATGAAATGCAGCGGGCCACATGACTGCTGGGAAACCATGCATTTCAATTTTCTCAAAGCTTCCCGTTACTATCTACAAACACAACTCCTTTCCTCTTCCTTTAAGCACAAACATTCGTTTTTTTGCTAGTTATTTCAACTACTCACGAAAACCACAGCTTATTCCAAACAGACCCACACTCTCGAGTTGATTCAATATGCTCATTAAGTGATCATCCATTTCACAGACCTCATTAAGAGAGAAAAGAGTCCTTTCAAAAAGGGGGAAATGTATGTGTGTTAAGCATGGTATTCTACTGCAAAAGTCCGATGTAACATATTATCAGGAAAATGAGCTCAACCTTACTGAAGAACGAAAAGCTATACTAAGTGTGAATCAGAATAATCTCACAATCAAAATAAATTTAAAATTACATGTAAACCAGGTGTGGTAGTATATGCCTATAATCCCAGTACTGTGGCAGGCTGAGGCAGGAGGATCATAAATTTAAGCCTAACCTGGGCAATTTAGTGAGACTCTATCCCAAAATAAAAATAAAAAAATAAGGGCTAGGAAAAACCACCACCAACAGAAAAATCAGAGGCAGAATTCCCACCACATTATCCCATTTTGAAGGAATCAGGCATTTTTTGAATGCCTGAAGCTAGAACTAAATCAAACTATCTAAATCCTCGTAATGAAACACTATGCTGTCAAGGGAGGGAAAGGAAGTTATTCACAATGACCAGAAAATATAGCCAATATTTTTATTCTCAAATGAGAAAAAAAAACCCACAGGTTATTTTGGTGATTAAAGATAATAGATAGGGGCTGGGGTTTTAGCTCAATGGTTCCACCTCCTGCCTCGCAAGCGCAAGGTCCCGAGTTCGATCCCTGGTACCCAAAAACAAAAAAACAAAAAACAACAACAAAAAATACAGATATATATTTAATGACTACAAAGAGAACATCTAAGAGAATACAATCAAAATCATTAGATTTGGACTTTTATGTTTTCTTACTGATGAAATCTTTTGATAGTTATGAACTACAAAACAAAATATAAAAAACACATTTTTTTTTTTTTGGTTTTATTTTTTGAGACAAGGTCCCACTATGTATTCCAGGCTGGCCTTGAACTCATGGTTATACACCAGCCTCAGTCTCCCAAGTGCTGGGATTACAGGTGTGCACCACCACATCTGGCAAAAAACACATTTTAAAGCTCGTTGGTGGCCTGTCATTAAGAGTGAGTTGCTAACTATCAATAGGTTTGGAACAGTATTTCCTGGGTTCAAATGTAAACTCTGCCTTGACCTCTCAATCGGCTTCCTCCTCTGCAAAACTGGGATGACAAGGGTACTCACTTAGGGACCACTTCGGGTCCATGTCAGGGCCTCCCCTCCCTGGGAAGGTGACATAAGGGACTCATCTCAGGTCTGACTGACACCAGCATCTTTCAGCAGACATGGGTGATGCCTCCCTAGGGGAGACATCCCATTGTCTGTGTATCTAAATACACTGCTACCCAAGGCCTCTGCCCCTAAGGGGTTGGAACAGACATTCGGGGTCTCCAACTGCTCACTCCTAAAATGAGTTAGATAATGAACACAGTTCCCATTCTAACCTACAGTTCTATTATTTAGCTGGTTTCCACTAGGCAGTCAGTACATGATGACTTCTGAGAACACACATGCTGGGGTTCGCAAAAGAGCTGTAGTTTACCTGCCAAAGGTACCCAAAGATGTGTCATAAAAATTAATCCCATGCTTGCGCGAACAGCAAATATCCGTCAGGAAGTTATGAACAAGCTCCCTCACTGTGGCTTTCCCTGCTTCTTCAGTGGACATCTATGAGGGTTGGAAAATAATTCAATGAATCCCAAGTTCATAAACATGAGTAATAGCTGCCGAATAAAAACAGGACAGTGACACACCACCTAATGACAGCTCAGAAAATACTTAAAATCAAACACTTAGAATTATTCCAAAACCAAACAAGACAATCCAAAACAGACACAACCATCAAGATGAAAGAATACTCTTAAGAGAGGCAAGTTTAAACTCTTATTTTTAAAAGCTTCAAAATGACTTAATTTGTCTTGGACTTTTGAATGAAATTACACGTTTGGGAGTGTTTTTATTATACCCATAGGGCTTCCTGTAAAGGAGTGCACAAAAATATGTTTGAAACGAGAGGACCAGGGCAAGACACCGAGATAAAAGGGAGGAAAGCAGTAGGCTCTGGAGAAGTAAGTTTTCAGAAGTTAACAGCAAGACTGAGCCTTTGCTATGTTGGCCAAGTCCATGCTGAAAACACTCCGAGGAAAATAATAGAAAATCAAAAGGCACACTGGGCTTGGGTCAATATGAGAGCAACTGCTTTGATTTAGCAGGAGTTAACTATCAAAAAATAAATCACCATGTCAGCGGGGGAGAAAATGAAAGACCCCCTAGACAGGATTCTAAAGTAAACAGAACAAGCTTTGAATCTCCAAAGCCTGGATGTGAAAAGAAAGGAAGACAGAGAAGGAAGAGGCTAAGCAAGAGGAGGAAGAGAGCCTGCCAAGAGCCCGATGACCCGAAGACAAACAGAAGACCTCACTCAGCTAATGGGAGTGATAGTTTCTTCCCTGACAATGACAACAGTGTGCTATCATAAGTCCCACATGAGAACAAAAATCTTAGGGTGAAAATACAAACCTTAAGCTGGGCATGATGGCACATGCCTGCAAGCCCAGCTACCTGTGAGGCTGAGACAGGATTACAAGTTTGAGACCAGCATGGGCAATTTAATAAGACCCTGTCTTAAAAAATACAAAGGGCTGGGGATGTAGCTCCATGGCAGAACAGTTGTCTGACAAGCACAAGGCCCTGAGATCAATCCCCAGCACTGCAAATAACAATACTATAATTTTTAAAAATCATATTGCATTTAGCAGAGAATTAATATAACTATAAGCCAAAAGAAACAACGAAATGATGGGATTGTTTTGAAGTTTTTATTTCTATTGTTTGGTTTTCAAGACAGGTTCTGGCTATGTAGCCCTGGCAGGCCTTGAACTGGTAGCAATCATCCTGCCTCAGTATCCCAGGTGTTGTGATTACAGGCATGTGCCACTATGTTCAGCTAGGGATTTTTTTTTTTTGCAGTACCAGGGATCAAACTTAGGACCTTGTACTTTCGAGGCAGGTGCGGTGCCAACGAACTAAATCCCTGGCCCTGGGTTTTTTCTTTTTAAAGCCTAGTGTAATATTGAGATGTGACCACTACTAAGGTCCACTGAAACCCAAGAGACTGTACCTTGGCATTCTCGGAATTTTCTGAGGTCACGTCAGCAATCCCATTCCAGCTGTAGAGAGATGCTATGTGGACCAAGACCTGCCCAGTAAAGAAGCGCACCTTCTGGGTTTTTGTGATATTTGTATTGTGAACTACCTGAAAACAATGATAGAACAAATAAAGCTCAAAATTCATTTGTCTATAAAAATACTATTTATTGTCTTTTCGTTGTTATAAAAATAATGCATGCTAATTGCAGAAAATTTGGCCAAAAAAGGGGAAAATACACAGAGAAATACAGAATTCACCAATATCCCAAACACCTTCGGTACTTCATTACCATTCTAGGGTGTTTCCTTCCTGCCCCACCTGTCTACAGCCACAGCATGCAGGTATATACACTGGTTATTTTTTTTATGGCCTGAGATTATATTGCAATATGGTTTTGTGCCTCCTTTACTTATCTAGTGTAAGCTTTTACCACATTAAAAATTCCTTCAGAAGATCGTTTTGGAGGGCTCAATAGTATTCTATGCTACCAGTGGACCATGACTTACTTAACCCTTCCCCTGATATTTACAATCAGGCTGTTTCCACCTGGCTACTCCCCATCAAGCCTTGTGTGAAGTCCACACTGCATTTCTGATGAGAGACTTGGCATCGAGTCTTACAGATGGAACTGAAGCACAAGTTCTCAGCCCACCCAAACCTGGGCAGTGTGGCCCAGTCCGAGTATTTGAAGTGCGTCCTCCAGGTGGTTCTGATCAGCACTCCAGCTCAAAGCAACCCTAAGCCAGGCTTACAGCATACATGAGACCTTTAGCACATGGGGCCAGAGCTGCTGTCTTCCGTGAGGGCTGAGACCTCCAGGGAAGTACCTGGCCTGAAGCATCTTTGCTAGTACTATACAGGATGTCATTTTTAAAATGTCACTGCTATCCTGGTAAGGGAAGAAGCCTGTATGTCACTATTTGTTTTATTTTAGGTAAGGTGACACTCTTAAGAGGAAGGGGAGCAGTGCTGTCCTGTACACTGTAAGGTGTCCAGCAGCACCCCTGGTCTCTACCTACTCTCTGCCAATTGTAGCTTCCCGGTCATAACTACAAATGACTCCAGCCTAGAATCCCAGCACTCAGGAGGCAGAGGCAGGAGGACTGCCACAAGTCTGAGGCCAGGCTGGGCTACACAGTGAGTTCAAGACCAGCCTACACTACACAGTCATAGTTTAGGGAAGCCTAAACTACACTGTCATAAAAAGATAAATAAAATTTTTAAAAACTGTCTCCAGAAATGCCAAATGTCTCAAGGAGAGCAGAACTGTACCTAGTTGAGAACCACTGTTTATGAACTATGAAAGTAAAGTGTTTTCTGCTTATTGGCCACTTTTTTTCTTTTTTGGTACCGAACTTGGGACCTTGCACTTGCAAGGCAGGTGCTGGAACCACTGAGCTAAATCCCTGGTCCTGACTGGCCACTTTTACGTGGGCTTTGACAACTTTTCATGTTGACAGGGTCACAGAGTCTTTCTAATTAATCAGTTAAGGTGTTTCTGTCTCAAGGACAGTGATCAATCCCTTTTTGGCAAGTTTTTAAATTTCTGTAGGATGTTTGCAAAAGCCAGAATACGTGACATGACACAAATTAACACTGCACTAGAGGTGTAAATGAAGCATTACTTGCAATTTGCCACTCATAATTAGGAACCTGGGTTGCTGTGAACTGCTGATCAACAGCTTTCCTCCTGTCATAAGGAAAGAGCAGCCCTGCGTTCTTCGAGCTTCTGGCCCCAGAACTTACTCACCGTCAAACTCAGCTTCTGCTTAAGAACCTGTTTTCCACTCAATCTATGTAACTATAGCTGAGAAAGCTGCAAAGCAATGGGGACCATTTCTTCATTCACAAAGAGAAACAAATGACAGCAAGACTGATCACCACACGCGTACCTTTGTTTTCAGTGTAGATAACAAAATGTTGATGGTAGAAATCCTATCTTCCTTTATGCCCGAGCTAAAAATGCAAGGGATAAATTCTGAAAATAAAAATTTCAAAGCATTAAACACAGAAATATTTTAGAAATCAAAACAAATGAGAGTATTATTGATTAAATGGTACAGCAAATAATGCCATGTACCTTTTTTAAAAAAAATTTTGTCTTTCTTAATTATACAAATTCACAGTAGGAAAAACCAGCTTCATGACAAAGAAATCAAGGGTACCTAAAGTTCAGTAGTTCAATTCCATTTTACTTTCATTTTTGTACATTAGGTAAAATGAACAGTGATTGAAAAAGAAAATGCAGTAGTATGACTACAGTCTTTGAAAACTCCTTCTTAGATTTGCTGAGATGTTTAAAATTATGATCATCATTTTATTAGTTGGTGGTTTTTAATTAGTTAGTGGGAGGAGCTTGGGAGATTGTTTGTTTGTATGTTGTTCTCTTCATACTTCACCACCACCAGCGAGACAGCCACCAGAACTTGAGAACCTGTCATTACTAACACTGCACAGAAACATCAGAGCAATTGCTTCCTATATGCTTATTTTCCACAAAAGAAACTCATTATTCTTTAACTAAGAAAATACTAAGCAAACTAAAATAATAAAATTTGGGCTGGAGATGTATCTCAGTGGCACAGTGCCTGCTTGGTAAGCACAAGGCCCTGGGTCCAATTCCTGGTACCAAAAAAAAATTTACAAAATAATAAAATTTAAAACCAACCATAACCCCCACTCAAAGGTAAATACTATAACATCTGAATTAACTGTTAGCCTTCTGATGCAAGGATACTGTTCTACTTAGCTGTTGGTAAAACAGGATGCTATGTTACCACTCTATGAGTTGATACCCAATGACTAGCACTCAATTTTTTCAACTGATCCCTTGCATGGCAAGAAGTTTGACCTTCAGCTAACACAAGAAAAATTTCTTTAACCAAACCTCTACTCACATCCTTAATTATTTCCTTAAGACAAATGCCTATACATGGAATTGCCAGATCAAACACCTCAGAAGAGCCGGGGATTTGGCTCAGGGGCACCCACACCTGCCTCGCACCTGCCTCGAAAGGGCAAGGTCCTAGTTCGATCCCCGGTACCAAAAAAAAAAAGACTGCCAGGGATGTAGCTCAGTGATTCTGCCACCTGCCTTGCAAGCACAAGGTCCCGAGTTCGATCCGCGGTACAAAAAAAAAAAAAAAAAATCTCAGAAGATCTAATGCAGGAGGCCAAATTGCCTGCAGAAACCTGCCCCTGCGGCAGTGGAAACAAGTACCCACTGTCTTTCAACAAAAGGCCAGATGGCTGAGGTGACCCAGGGGAACTGTAAAGAAACTGCTGGCCCTGGTAGCAGCGGGACATCCTGAACCCAGTTCCAGCAATGAGTGGGGAAGAACGGGCTGTGGCATCATGTCCTCTCCAGGATACCCTGCCAGTGATGGAGCCCCACACAGGCCGACACCACCCACACCCTCCAGTCCCCCTAAGGACTACTCCCAGAGTTCTGACCAGAGCACACAGGCATGATTCTGGGAATCTTACTGAGTGACGACTATGTGCTAAGCTTGGTCTTGTCATTTACCATCTTACAAAATCTCTTCATAAAACACAAGTGACCCTAAAACCTATACCAAGCCTTGCTCTAGGAAGACAGCCACCAGAAGGTGGTCAGGTCAAAGTTCTCTGGAGCCCTGATATTCTGATAGCATGGGGCAGAGCCACCAAGTTAATTAAACTTTATGTGTGTATGTATCGTGGTGCTGGGGATCACATCCAAGAGCCCTGCACATGCTAGGTAAGTGCTCTACCACAGAGCTATCCCCCCAACCACATAAACTGTATTTTTAAAAATGCAATTACTAAGGGAAGCCAGGTAGCCAAGGCTATGAATCTGTGTATGTTCTGGAACCAAAAGCATCTTTGTTTGCACTGATCCTTTGTAAGGGCAAAGTTCAGCATTCTAGACGGTCTCACAGGAAGGCCTCTGTTAATGCTAAACAGCGATATCAAGATGGCAATGCCCAAGGCTTTGCCCCTCCACATATCCCTCATGCCAGTCCACAATGCAGCTGCAAAGGCTTCAGACTTGTTGGAAGAGATGGTTTGAGGTGGGTTTTGCAGAACAACTGCAGGTGGGCTTTCCTAAGGGACAAAGAGAATACCTACCTTTCAGCTCCAGTACTTGCCCTATAGTGCTATCATCACCAGCAATTAAGAAGGAGAGGGCAAACTGGATGTAGGCCAGCCGGACATCAGGCACTCCCTGGAGGACAAAGGAGACCCACATGTCACATTCATGTCACACACAAAGGCAGAAAAGACAGGAACGCGGCAGGCAGGAACACACCTCCAACATCCCCAGCCTCCCGGTCTTGTCCCCAGTCAACTGAGGGTGGACATCTGAAGCCAATGTGCATTCTTTATGGAAAACAAAGGTTTTTCTTTGCTCTTACCCCCAACTGTACCCCCTTCCATAACTGTGACATGTAAAGTATAAAGTTCATGGACCATTCTAGTGTAAGCAAACAACTCTCAGCCCACCCACATCCATCCCCTAGTCTGCCAACGACAATAATCCATCCATGTTTTTGCAAATCCAGAAATAATGGAGAGTGTGGCACTACTTTTGATAAGAAGCCAATGTGGTGATGTCTGGTTTTCATTAGATATGTTATTAACTCACAAGAGAAACCAAAGCACAGATGCTTTGTGTTATGAGCCCAGCAGAGAGAGCCCAGGTCTGTAGCCTGCACCACCCCACGGGCATCACCTGCAACCTGGGGTGGCCGGGCCCGAAGGCCATGGCCAGCAGCTAACACTCCCTCCTGGGGAAGTCTCTAGGGCCAGCTGATCATTTTCCCCATGTCACGAAGACAAAGCCCTGTCTCATCATCCCTCTTGTACACCTAAGGAAGCTGAAGCACAGGGTCACACACACCTCTTATGGGCTGTTCTAGAGCTGGCACATGTGCTTAGACCCTCCACTGCTTTACCCCAAACTTCACCCACTTCAGTTACACCACGGTGCCTTCATTCATTGGCAAGGAATAAATTAATAGTGTATAGAATTACTGCTGCAAAGGCCTGGCAAGAAACAGCAAGGGGCCAGCTCTGCTTTCCAGAGAGTCCAGCCCCACTTAGCAGTGGCAGCTGAGGTGGTGGCAACAACAGTGACAATGATACCAACGTTTACTGAGCACTATGCCAGGCCTGATGCCAGATGCTGCACATCTGTTATACATTCCTCATAATGAGCTGAGGTGAAGATGCTTACCATCCCCACTTTACAGATGAGCAAGGTGAGATTTTAAAAACTCACTCAAGGTTATGCAGCTGCTAAGTAACCAAGTACCAGACCTGGGATAAATAAGAAATAACTGCACAAACATGCTGCTTCATGTTCGAATAAAAGATTCTCTCCCTTCTTCTCAGGGCTTCCCTGCATTTCACCTTTTCTCAAGGTGCAGGGCATATTTGGCATCATTTAGGCCTCTGTGTGAGTATTCAATCAATTCCTTCTTGTTTTGTTGGGGACATTTCTTCTGGAGAAAAGATGCCTATAATACCAGTTACTCAGGAGGCTGAGACAGAAGAACTGCAAGCTTTAGGGCAGCCTGGGTAACTTTACTGAGACCCTGCCTTGAAATAAAAAGGGGTGTGGCTGTAGCTCAGTGGCAAATTGCTCTCGCCTACCATGCGTAAGGCTCTAGGTTCTATTCCCAGTACCTGAAAAGAGAAAATAAAGGGGGGAGGGTATGCAATTCCTACTCTTAAACACTTGGATTTAGGGCTTGTATATTTGTTATATTTCTTGAGTTTGACTCCATCCAGGTCACGTCGCACTTTGGCAAGACCTTATCACATCAATGCTGATTTATTCCAGATACAACCAGAGCTTCAAACGATCCCCCTGATCTGTGGGCCTCTTCACCATGTGGGTTTGGGTACAATGATAACTGGTGTGCAGAACAGACATGCACGCTCCTGTGCCTTCGCTCACCAGTTTCATGTTCACAAAGCCCCATGACATTCAGGACGCCCTAACCTCAGACTGAGAGAACTCAAAAGATGACTAAGAAACTATCCTGAGGGAGTTTAAAGTAATCCCCACTCCCAACCTACCTGGGGGCCTCACTGTTCACATAAACATCTTACTAATTCCAGCACAATCATTGTTCTCCTGGTCTCCAATTGCCTCGTATTGTGAATAAATGTTGATATCACCCTAAAACTTGTCTGGAAAAATTAAATTAGGTTTTCTTTTCTCCCTTCTAGTGGAGTCACTGAGACAGTACTGGAGCTGGGGTCCTGGAATGCTGGCCCCATTTTCTGCAGCTCTAGATCTTGCTGTCCCAGTTATACACAGTAAAGTTGGACTAGATCTTCCCATGGGTCCTCTAGCAATGTATTTCTAAATGAAAAGGAACCTGATTATCACCTGCTGGCTCCCTTTCTGTATGTGACAGCCCCAAATCTCAGACTCCAACCCTGAGAAGGAACCAGACAGACGAGGTCCCTGAGACCCAGCACCTGCCCAGTCCAGGCTGGCACCACTGTGGCTCCTGTGCAGCCATCTGGGCCTCTGTCTCTGCCTCCAGCAAACCCCCTCAAAGACATCCTGCTCCTGCTGAAAGATGCTCACATGTCTAGTCCTTCATTCCTACTCTGTGACCTCATAGAGCTGTTATCCCTGGAAGAAAATGTCCTGAACTCTTCAGGGCTTGTTCTGCAAAACACTGTCTAAAATAGACCAAAACGTATTTGGCAAGACTGCTCTTTGGCACAGGATGTTAACAATGCTTTCTTTGGCTGGATGAAGATACCCATGGTCCTCTTTAATAATTCCCTCCCAAAGGTTCAAATACACTCACTAAAAAACAGAAATTGCCACTAGCATCTTTAACAACTAAAGTGCATGAAAAGAAGGAGGAGAAACAAAAGATTGAAAAAAGATGCAAAGAGCTTGGAGATGCGTATCGACCAAATGCAACATGTAGGTCTTGTCTGGATTCCCTCTCAACCAGAGCATGTTATGGTCTGAATCTAAAATGGCCCCAAATCTTCCCGTTTGGAGGGTGACTGGATTACGGGGGCACACAGCTGACTTGCTGTTAGGTGTTACTGGGGGCCTGACCTGGGAAGGTCCCTGTCCCTCCCTTTCCTCTCTGTTTCCTGCCCACCATGACGTGAGCAGCTTTCCTCCACCAGACCCTCTGACCGAGCCCTTCCTGCCTTGCAGCCCACTGACCATGGACTGAAAATGTGAGCCAAAATAAACCTCTCCTTTAAGTTGTGGGTGTCAGGTATTGTGTCTCAGCGACGAGGAGAGTGACTAAGACAGTATGAAAATACTTTGCACATGGTAGGAAAAACTAGGAGGCCAAATGAGGTTTTAGATAACAGTGAGAAATTATTAATGGTGGTAGGTGTGATAATGGTTCTGTGGTCTTGTTTTTTAAAAGGCCTTTTTCTGGTAGAGTACACACTGAAATATTTATGGAGAGATATGATTCATGTCTGGGATTGGCTAGAATAGGCTTCACCAAGCAAACTGAAAAAGTGGGAGGGGTGACAAGCTGGGATGAAGCTGGAACACGGGGCTTCCTTATGCTGCTCTATTTTTAATGTCCCTGACATGTCCAGCATGAAAAAAAAGTTAACATGTAGACCCCATCTCTTACAACACATAAAGTATTTAAGGGCTATCTCATCCTTGAGATAGATTAAATAAAAGAAAGCAAGAACCCTTTCAGCCTGGCATTAACTCCCATTTTACAGAGCCCACAGGGGTAAAATCACCTGCCTGGAGCCCCAAGACGATGTAGCTGGTGCAGGAAGGGGAGCCCTAGCTGGGCTTCCCGAGGTGTCTGGTCGTGGTGGGTGGCCTGGGTGCCTGAGTCTTTGCTACTCCGGTGGCTGGAGTCAAGAGACAGGGGTGGACGGGGAGGTACCCGATGGGTAATTACTGCCAGGCTTGCTGCCAAGACCAAAGAACCGTGATATTGGCTCGAGTGTGCACACATTCTTTTTATTAGGAATGCATTTAAATGTCACGAGCCGTTTCTCACAAAATGGAATCTGTTGACATGTTAATAAAGCATAGCATCTAAGAAACACTAAGACCTAGACTCTTCTTTTCTCAGAGAGCACCTTATTCGTAATCCCAGTAAAACCTTCAACACCAGAACAATCTTACAGAGCGGTATTATTAACCCTTTAGTCTACTTCCCGACAATGTGGAAACTCTTGCCTCCCAGGAGTTTTGTGAGAGTTGCATATGGTTACGGAGGGGAACTATGCTCATGATTCTCTACCTGCCCGGCTGTCCCTCTGCTCAGGGAGTGGTGAGAACTCAGAGTTCCAACTGAGCTTTCTCCCCAAGGGCCTTTCCAGACCCGAGTGACACTGCTGGAGCCAACAAGGAATTCCTTTTACAGCCGTCCTGAAAACCAAGCATTCATACCCCCATTCTCTTTCCCACCACTCAGCCCCGACCATGACAGATTAAAACAGGAGACACAAAGTCATTCTTCAAAGAGCCCTAAGAGTCCTCTTTGAGGATGTCACTGTTAAGAGTTCCAGGATTCTTTAAAGCGGACAGATGAGAATGGAGGACTAGGGCACTTTATAACCCTCACTGCCATGAGGCAGAGATTATTTCCTTCACTCAGAAGAGCGGGTGCTCACAGCTAAGTCATCCTCACAGAGGTACTGCACTGTGCAGCCAACCTCCTCCCTTGTCCCCTTGCCCTAGAAGCTTCCTCAGATGTTCCCGGCACTCAGGCTCTGATGGGCAGCTGACCCATCTTCCGTCAGGGAAGAAGCACAATACTTGGGGTACTAACCTTTGAGTCCCTCTTAGTCACCAGGGCATACAAGTTCTTTTTATTCAAGTCAAAATGGCTGCAGATGTCCCTGGCAGCTTCGGGACCCTGGGTCACCATGGCGGCCATCAAGTTGAGGCAGGCTCGAGCTATCCTGCACAGGGACAGGAAACCAAGCAGGTCAGGAACAGCAGAAGCACAAGACCACCTCAAGTGCACACCTGACTGTGTGATTTGCTACATAAGAACCAGAAAAATGAAGAAAGGAGGGACTCGTGGAGGGCTGGCAGTCAGTGACAGCCCCTGCTAGAACAGGCAGAGACGCTGTCACGAGAGCCTCAGAAACAGCTCAGCTCTCCTTAGTGAGTGAAGGAAAGGTTAAAGCACCCAGGGAGAGCTGAGCACAGACCACACCAAAGGCCAGTCCTTTGTCACACAGAGGCAGGCTGCTTACCTGTAACCCGAGGCATACAGGGACTCACAGATGAGCTTCATGTGGTTGTTCATTAGCTTTTTCACGATATTGGTGCCCACGACATGAAAATGTGAAAGATCACTTGCTGTCCGCAATAATATGGCCTCAAAAACTTGAAAAATTAACAGCATCTGCAAAGACGGAATTGAAATGCTGTGAACCATCTCATCTCTTTTCCTGCTATACATATACACTGCTCCCGTCTGAACTGGAGTTTCCTGTAGGTCTACAACCTTCAATGTGCAGAGTTAGGCCTCCCCAGACCCTGGTCCAAAGGTGGCAAAGGCGAGAAGGTTAAGGCTTAGCAGGCTCAGCCACCAGGACCCAGGCCTGAAATACAGAATACCTTGCTTACAATTACACAAAGTCAAGTACTGGAAGAAGGAGAGACCTCTAATAATAATTGGGTCTCACTGCTTTGGATTTTACAGCCTTATAACAATAGCCCTGAGACTTTGGTAAGTTCATAAATATTCTAAGTTTTCAACCTCTTTGGAAGCAGAAGACGACCAATTTTACAAGTGTTCTGAGTCTGCAGTACAGTGTTTGCCTGCTTCTTTTTTGTTAAACCAGGCGCCTTCTGATCTATGATCCTGGCTTTTGACATTATCCACCAAATGGTAATAAGAACTTAGCGTTTCCCAGTAAAAAGCTTTCAAAGGTCATAAAGAAAATAGGGTATTCCTACACACTGGGACAAAGAATCATTTTCTGCAAACAACTGGTGCTGTCTGGGAAACTTACATCCCCTTTCACCAAGCTGAAATTAACACCCACCACAGCATTAACTTCCCTTCATCAAGTCAGGTAAGGAACAAACATACTTCACTTTCAGGTCGCTTCTCTCCACTCAGGAGCTGGAAAACTTCTGCACATTCAACAGAAATCTTTATGTATCCTTCCACGACATCATGTACATCTTCTTGTGGTAGCTTCTTGGCAGCAGAGACGAACGCTTCCAAGGCTGAAATCAGAGTTATGTTCAAAGGTCAAAAAGCACAGTCTCCTCAGAAGTAACAGCAACCAAAACTGTGACCTGCTTTCCTGTTCTGTGACCCCCCTCAAGCTACAAACCCAGCCATGAATGCTACGGACTGAACTGTCCCCCTAAAATTCACACATTGTGGCCCCGATGCCTACAAGGCTGCTTGGATACAGCGTCTGAAAGGAGGTAATTAAAGATGAATACGGTCATATTGAGTCTCTAATCCCAACTGGTATCCTTATAAGACAAGGAAAGGACATCAGAGAGCTCTTGCTCTGCCGTGTGAAGAAGGTCAAGGAGCTGTCTGCAATTAGGAAGAGAACCCTCAGCAGAACCCCACCAAGCTGGCACCTGGATCTTGGACTTCCAGAGCTGTGGGAAAATAAATGTCTGTTGTTGAGCCACACAGTCCACAATATTTTGTGATGGCAGCCCTCGCATATGAATCCATATGGACATTAAGGAAACACTGCAAACAATGAAGGCAGAACAGGAATAAAACAAGCCGTGAGCCAACAGAACTCACAGGTGTGAATCCTATCTGGAGCCATTACTCGCCCAGACTCTCTTAGCTCTATGCTCTCTCATCTATGAGATGAAGATAACAATAGAAATGATCCATAATGTGGTAATGAAACACTACCAAGAGCTCTACCTATAATCAGTTACTTCTTACTACAGCCCTCTATTCAGGGTACCAGTATTTTTTCCATTTTACAGATGAGAAAATTGAGGACTTTGGCAAAGGTACTCACTAGGAAGTGTCAGAGCCAGCCCTCAAACGCAGGCTGTCTGACTCCAGAGTTCTCCATTCAAAAGCTGGACAACTGCTGCATGCTCAACTGAACTGACTTGTGACATGGCCTCTGCATTATCCCTGCAGCACCTGACCCACTGTCAGCACCAGGAACTGCAGTGGACCTCGGTGCTCCTCAAAAGCCCCAAGAGTGGCTCCTCAGAGGTATACTTCCTCATAAGGCCGCCCCAGAAGGTCCCGCCTCAAAAATCTCTTGGCCTATAAATTCCATCACACGTGCTCTAGGTAACACACCCCAGCAGGATCTGCAGCCCTGCCACAGTGCCACCCCACCAGGGGAGCCCTCTTCCCTTAGCACCTGGGTTCTGCAAAGCTGCCCCTCTCTGGCTCTCCTGTCAGGCCACAAATCACCAGGGCAACAGGGCACAGTGGGAGAGAAGCCACAGGAAAGAACAGGCTAGAAGTGGCACACAGTTATGGGGGCCTTAATCTTGTTAGGGAGTGACTTATTTTTATTTGCAAAAAAGGGAGGAAGGGACTAAATATATTTATTAAAACACACTTAGTCATTACCAGTGAAATAAAATGCAAAATGCCAATGGCCTTTTAAGAACTACATGAAGAAATGTTAAACATCTCTAGGTATTAGAGAGATGTAACTCGTAACGCTGAGATTTCATTTTTTTCCACAGAAAAAATGGCTACCAACAAGAAATCACATACTAACAAATGCTGGCAAGGCTGCAGGAAAAAAGAAACCCTTCTTCATTGTTGGTGGGAATAAAAACTAGTACAACTATGGAAATCAGTGTGGAGATTCCTCAAAAAACTACATCTAGAAGTTCCATTTGACCTAGCTAGTCCCCTTCCGGGTATTTTCCCAAAAGAGTTAAAGACCTATTACAGAGATACATGCATACCCATGTTTATAGCAGCACAATTTTTAATAGCTAAATCCTGGAAGCATCTTGTATGCCCATCAACAAATGAATGGATGAAGAAAATGTGGCATTTACACACAATGGAGTACTACTCTGCCATGAAGAAAGAAAAACTTGAGTCATTTGTAGGAAATGGATGAACTTTGAGTGAAATAAATCAGACACACACTTACATATCCCAGAGAAACCCAAAATATAAATAAAGAGCAAAATAAAAGATAGATAATAGGAAGTAAGAAGACAGATCTTTCTCAAATGGGAAGGGGATCAAGAGGTGGAGGGAGGGCCGGGGATTTAGCTCAGTGGTTCCACCGCCTGCCTTGCAAGTGCAAGGTCCAGAGTTTGATCCCTGGTACAAAAAAAAAAAAAAAAATTAAATTGCCACTTCTGTTATCCAGTTGATCCACTTTTAACAGTCTATAGCAAACAAACTGCTGAAACTGTGCATAAAGATGTATACTTATTGCAAATT